TAGTTGGCTAATTCCTTGGTTAATTGTAATTAATTAATGAAGATATAAAGTATTCGTACCTATTATATAAATAAAATAAAAAATCATGTAAAAAAAGTAAGTCCCAAGTAAAAAAAAAAAAAAAAAAAAAGATAAAAAATACAAAAATTCATCTAAACAACGAAGTAGAAGTTCCCAAGTAGAAAAAAAAAAAAAAAAAAAAAGACCATAGCATGTTTTGTAAGATTTTTCTCTCAAAATGAAACTTTCCTTTACCTATCCATCGTTTTTTCTCTGAAATTTTCGAAGAGATTATAAACTATCGGATTCAGGCTTTTGATAAAGTAATTAATGCTTTTTGGCAATAAAATTATTTCTCATACTAATATCATTTTCACAAATTATGTATCCGAATTTAATTGATTGTCACTGATACTGGAGGAAAAGAGTATGTAAAAAAAAAAAAAAAAAAAAGACATAGATGTTTTGTAATTTTCTCTCAAATGAAACTTTCCTTTACTATCCATCGTTTTCTCTGAAATTTCGAGAGATTATAACTATCGGAGTCAGGCTTTTGATAAATATAATGCTTTTTGGAAAATTATTTCTCAATCTAATATCATTTCAAAATTATGTACCAATTTAATATTTGTCCTGATATGGAGAAAGAGTATTACACTAAAGCAACCAATTGAGTTTGTGGTTTCAGTGCAATAGAAAAAGTAACTCGTACTAACAAGTACTCAACAAAAGATAGTTGTATGGACAAACAATAATTTTTATTTTGTATTGAGACACAAATCCAATTGGTGGTTTCAATACAAAATAAAAATAAATTGTTAATTTGCCTTTTCACTAAACTGTACAATTCGTTTGGTGGTTTTAGGACAATTATAGGATGAGACCACTAGTTAATAAAAAGTACAAAAGAGTCCACTAGATTAATTAGTGGTTTCAATAAAAAAATATTTATTCACCAAAACGTACATATAATCTAATCTGGTGGTTTTCATTTACAATTATTTTAAGTTAAATAATAACAATATAAGTTTCCTTACACAGTTAAAAATTACCGAGAGTAATAAATTGTTTCAAGTTGAACTTGTATGATGTTAAAAATGTCTTAATAACTAATATATGAAAAATTAATCATATTAATGTCTACCCACATGTCCTCATGTACCACACCTTAGAGGCCTTCTATTACGACGTGGATTTCGGCGTATCTCATTTTCTCTAAGACCTTGATATTTTCTCCATGCTCAATATTTATATCGTCAGTCATGGAAGGAACTTGAACCACATTCACAAATAGCTGTTGTGGGCTAGGAAAAATCAAATGAGTCTATTGCTCGGGTACCATCATTATCTCAAAGAAATTATTAAATAAGTGTCTAGCATGAGATGTAGATCCATCAAGTGTGCCGAAAGACACCACATAAGCATTGAAAGCAATTATTGTATGCTGAAATGACGTTGCCTCGCTTATTTCGGAGAAAGAAATATGGGTTTACTGGATTGCCATCATCGAAGTGTAATAAATGTTCAATGGCATTTCTAATGCTACAGACGGTATACTCCACTCAGGTTGTGGTGCAGAAGATGATGTTTTGGACATATTAGTGCGATAAACTTCATAATAGTTATATGTCATAAGGGGAGGGACTTGAGGTATATCATCTACTGGCGGAGCTTCAATTGGAATACATCTTGATGTCATTTCACGTCTCCTTCGCCTATGTAGTCCTTTCAGTGTTTGAACATTAGGAAACTCTATAGATGGAGAGGCAGGTTGAAGCATAAGATGAGTCTCGTTATAAATTTCTTCATTCATTACACCGAAGGCTAAATAATTTTCGATGGAATGATGGATTTCTAAGTGTTGGTGATGTTGAACTGTGATATATATGTTGGAGCCCATCTGCTTGTATTAAAAAAATATTATGAAAATAAGAACAAAAATTATTATTCAATTAGATTAAGAAATTATAAGATAAGATAAAAAAATATCAAATAATTATCACAGCTCCAGTTTGTGCACCTCGAAATGAAATCCAATGTCTAATTTGTTATACATATCAAATGAATTGCACTAAAACCACCAGATTATATGTATGCTTTGGTGAAAAAATATTTTTTTTTATTGAAACCACTAATTAATTTTATGGACTCTTAACAAAAGACTATTTTCCATGTACTTTTTGCTGACTAGAAGTCACATCCCATAGCTGCACTAAAATACCAAACGAATTGTGTGTTTTAGTGAAAAAGCAAATTGACAACTTAAAATTTTTATTTTGTATTGAAACAATTAATTGGATTGGTGGTCTCAATATAAAATAAAAATTATTATTTATTTATATAACTACTTTTTACTGACTGATTGCTAGTACGAATTACTTTTTCTATTGCACTGAAGCCACCAACTTAATTGGTGGTTTTAGTGTAATCATTTCTCTCCACATCAGGACAAACATTAGATCAGTAAATAGTTTTAAAATGGCATTAGATTGAAAATTAGTTTTATGAAAGCATTATTCTTGTCAAAAGCCCATCGAAGCCCATAGAAAATTTATTAGTTCTTTTGCTTTATTCCATATTTTTCTCAAGATTTTCAAATAAGGAAAGATCCTTTTTATACTTAATTATTTTCTATCTGAATTTTCCTTCATTCCAAAAATCTATCTAAACAAGTTGTTAAGGAGCTTATGGAAATTTTCTCACATTGTTAATGTGACTAGTATTTTTAGATCCCGGTGTTGTGGAATTTTTAACTCTTAATCATTTTCTTGTAGGAATGAGAAATTTTATCTGCATCGAATATCTATTTAAATTAGATCTAAATAAAATAATTAACACTACTGATCGGATGTGAATTTTAAAAGTAAAATCCGACCTATACTATATTGACTCGTGTATTTATTTATCAAACTAAGCTAGTACATTTTCTAAATATTTTCAAATTCCGAATTCAATTTGCCATATCCAATGCTAGCTCTACTTTATCGTGCGGACCAAACAAATTGTCTTTAGGTTGAGTTGATTAGTTAATCTTGCAATTCTTGCTCATCGAGACAATATAATGCATCACGAGACATTGTTTACAAGTATTAAATAGTAAATAAATTGAGCCGGCTCTTTGAGTTCGTTTGGAGAAAAGTTTAAAAAAGTTTGATTCAAATTGAGTTTAAATTCGAGCAGTTTCTTGAGCAAATGAGCTGAACTCAAAGCTAATAATATTCAGTTTGAAAGTTCGTTGAGTCTTATTGAACTTTTATATACACATATATATAATATTTTCTTAAATTTATCCAATTACATCAAATTTCGAGTCGAACTCGAGTCTAAATTTTTTTAAATTGAACTCGAATTTCAAATCAAGTTTGAGTCTAAAATTTTTATATTTCAAATTTTAAACTAAACTAAATTTAATCGAACCAAGCTTTGAATCTGACATGTTCGAGATCGGTTCGGTTGATTTACATCCCTGTTAAACACTTGCTAATAAAAATATCAAAAACTGGATAGCTATTACTGGCGTCATGTGACATTGGGGCTTGGGGGAATGGCCCCCCTTGCTCCCACCACCTTCCTTGCCATCATTGGTTTCTATTCGCAGCTTCGTGATCTTGATAAAGTATTTATTTTGCACTTTATTTAAGAAAATAAAAGCGGAAGAAATAAAAAAATAAGGAAGAAAAATTTTTTCTTTTTAAATGTGTCTATATATAAAAGAAAATGAAATTATTTTTTCTTTAGTTAATACATTTTTTATAACTTTTCTATTTTCCTTTTAATAGGGACAGAAAAATTTAAACAGAAAATATAGCTTTCTTAATTTGAATAGAAGAGCTTTTCATTAATTCAATTTTTAAAAATTAAGAAATAATTAAATTAAAAAAATTGATAAAAAATAACAATATACCACTCCATAATTACCTCATCTCAATATTACATTTCCTTTCCTAAAAAAAAAAAAAATTGCTTTTATATATTTATGAAATGGATATGGATATGGATATGGATATGGATATGGATTATCCATATTTCACAATTAAGGTATGAAATGAAAGCATTATGAGAATGACTTGTCATGCTGGAAGTGCAAGTAATTAATTAACATAACATCAAGGAATTACTTAATTAATGAATTAATTAATTATTTTTGAAGATATCTATCTTTTTGGAAGATAACATCAAGTTTGACTTAATTTATTGGCCATTTGTTATTTGTTCTAAAAATAATTACAAGTTTTGGATGAAAATGAAATCCCTTTTTTCTTTCTCAAATTCACTTCAAGGATTTTATTTTCTTTTAACAATCATATAATTAATATATATAACTAAATACATATTCTATTATAATTTTTTAAAATTATTATTAAATATTAAAATTAATTAATTTTTCATATACAAAAATGGTCCGAACTTTCTCGCGCAATGCGGGAATTACATACACCGAGCTGCTTTTTTTTTTTTTTAATTGTTGAGATACTAAAGTTAAATTCATTTTTCCCATCAATGAAAATAAATTGCACCTTTGAGAAATTTTCCTCCCAAAATCACGACTTTTAAAATTTTTAAGTATTAAAATTTAGAATAAAAGGAGAAAAATTGAAATGTAGTAAAACTATAATTAAAAAAGTGTCCACGTTGCTGGTGAACTAAATTAACAAAAAAAACATATCCATTTCAAGAATAATATTATTCCATTTTAATTTCAAACCAAACATGGTCTTATAGATCACCTAATGTACATTTCTCACCTTCCGTCCATTTCTAAATACTCAAACCAGATAGTCGAAGACACGAAGCGCCCATACTTAAAAGAGCAATAATCCAACACGCCAAGCAAAATTAAATCTTGATTACGTGTCTACTGATAAATCAATAAACCACGATCAATCCAGTAACCAATAGCCACGTTTACAAATAAAATAAAAACGGTTGCACCTGATCACTCGTAAAAGAACACAGAGCACTTGTGGTATTCGAAAGTCTCACGCGCTTCTTCTGGTTTCATTACGCCACATACTCGTATAAATGGCGAAAGATCAAAAATAGAAACAAACGGAGAAAATAAAGAAAACTCACAAATTGATAAAAGAATTGGCCGGAGAGCTCTACAGATCCGGTTAACTACTCGCCGGGAACATAATCCCGGTTGTATTTCCGGCGAGATTTTTTAGAAGTTGTAAGATTGTATGAGAAAACGCGAAGCGAAAAGAAAAATCGGTAAGAAGATCATGGACGGAGAGAAAGCAGAGGAGGTGCTAGCGATGATGACGACGAAGGAGAAGAGAAAATTTGAGAAGAAGTTAGTGAAATTTAAAAATTTACCGGAGTATTTGCAAGATAATGAGTACATATTGGATTATTATAGGTGTGAATGGCCTTTGAAGGAGTCTTTGTTGAGCGTTTTCTCGTTGCACAATGAATCTCTTAATATATGGACGTAAGTGATGTTTTCTTTTAAGATAAATATTTATATATGCTTTTTTGTTATCTGAAACTTGAATTGTTGATTTGTTTAGGCATTTAGGAGGTTTTTTTATATTTTTGGCATTGACGGTGATGAGTTGTATGGAGAAGACGGAGCTTGGGGGTTTCATTACCGGTGTCCCCAGGTAATTTCTGGACTAACTCGGTTGATTTTTTTTCTTTCTTCAAATCATCTCTGTTATTCTTTGAAAAGAAGATGATCTTGACCTGTTTTTTGATTAGTGGAATTTGTGAAATTTGATTTGACAGAAGAAAAGTTTCTGGACCGTTGATGATGATGATGACGACGAAGAGCCATGAGTATAACGTCTCTGATAATAGTCACATGTTACCGGTAATTTCTGTGTTTTTGTTTTTTCTTTTTACCTAATTGTTTTTCGTTTAGCAAAGAAGTGAAAAGCAATTTGAATTTGCTTTGAGTCCTGAAAGCGAGATATTCCAAAAGCCGATATCTTTTCTTGGTGGGGGAGCACTCCATGTGAATACTTTGATTCTTATAGGCAATCTATTTTTACTTTTCATTTTTCTTTTTATTTTTTCCCACTATTGTTAATTTGTTATTCGTTCACGTCATGGCATCTGGCTCAGCATTAGCTATCTTCAAGTATCTTCTATGGTAAAAAACTAAGAACATGGCCGAACGCAAAATTTCATACTCAATTTTGTTAATTTAACTTTTGGCACCATAATTTTTATTTTGATCCGTTAAATACTTTGATTTATAAAATTACACTTATAAAATCAATTAATGAAAATTATTACTTTAAAAAGTTACTTTAATTACAAATCAAATCAATATTTTGCATATAATCGTCAAAAATCCTAAATACTATTATTTTTAGTATGAAAAAGTGCGTAATGTTATTAAAATTTACAAATTTTATAGTGCCACAAAATTAAAGTCACAAAATTTAAGGATGAGTTTATGTATTGGGCGGTAAAATATATATTTCCTAAGTGAATTTGTTATAGTCCCTGTTCCCTTGGATAATGAAAGTGAAATGCTATTTTTAAAATAATTCTTTTTTTTAAGGAATTCTTTTTATTTAATATATCAAAGCAGTTACAGTTTAATAGTGATTATGTTTTTTTTTTTTTTGAAAGGATAGTGATTATTATTTGAATAACATATATTTTTAGATAGAATTGCTAAGTATTACCGTAAAATTAAATATAAATAGGCGGTTGGATGCGAAAACATGAATGTGAATAAATAAATATAATCTTGACTGATTTATGTTTTCAATTGTTTATTATAAGTTACTTGATTATGTGGACTTATTATTTCTTAATATATCATATTATATTTGATAAGGTTGATATTTTAATTTAATAAAATAATAAAATAGTATATAGTTTTGCCGTTGGACTTTGTATTCAATATCCATTTCAAACATTGAGTACTTGTTTTGTATTGTGTGAAGGCATGAATATTGTAAATCTTGATATCTTCATCCCTTCAGAAATTTATGATATAGCAAAACCTTATATTCCGATCAGTCTAAAAGATATGGAAATACTCCTAGAAAGACTACTTTAAAAGAAAAAACAAGTACTAAGCATAGTAAGAGTATCAAATCTGTCAATATTTTGTCCATAAGTTTTGTGCATTTTGTTGGAATTTATAGAATTATGAGCGAAATTTTTGGAACTTGCGAATAGACTTAACATTGAACAACATAAATTGATTCTTGCAGGATGCACAGTTGAGGCACATTTCAAAAGACTTGGTTATATCTGAAGCTATTCCTAAATGGCCATGGTTTGTTTTCTTATCAGGAGCAATGGGTTGTTTAATCTGCAGCTCTCTCTCCCACCTCCTTGCTTCCCATTCCAAGCGCTTTAACGTTATCTTTTGGCGCTTAGACTATGCAGGCATTTCCCTCATGATTGTTTGTTCATTTTTTGCTCCAATCTATTATGTCTTCTATTGCAATCCATTTCCAAAGTTCTTTTACATTACCTCCATAACTGTAATTGGTGTCATTGCTATTATCACTCTCTTGGCTCCTACTCTCTCTTCTCCTCGTTATCGACCCTTCAGGGCTACCTTGTTCTTAATCATGGGGATGCTAGGTGTAATTCCTGCTGGGCACGCATTTTCTATTTATTGGGGAAATCCACAAATCATTATATCTCTTAGTCTTGAGCTTCTTATGGCTATTTTATATGCTATAGGGGTTGGGTTTTACGTGACCAGAGTACCAGAACGTTGGAAACCCGGTGCTTTTGATATTGCAGGACACAGTCACCAGATTTTTCATTTGTTTGTTGTTCTAGCTGCCCTTGCTCATAGTGCTGCAACGCTTATAATTCTTGATTTTCGCTGGAGATCACCTTCTTGTCCATCTTAGCTGGTAGGCATTGACTGTGTGTTGTTGTAATGGTTTTTTATACTCTAGTCCATATGCTAGCTCTTGTAGAACTTCGTGTTCTTAATACTAGTTAGAAATTTCTGCTCTTCTTTTGAAATAGAGGTAATTAATTCACATTCTTATGGGTTAATTACACAAGAAAAGAGTTTCTGAAGTTTGGCAAACTTTAGGGAGTATTTTGTAATTGACCCTGTAGTTTATATTTGTAATCCCAGATTTAGTAAAATTACCTCCGACCCACTCGCAAATCAAGTAGTTTTGCTTATTTTGGGGATGGCTTGCGGACAAGACATTCAGGCATTGGAAATGTAATACTGCTATTTGTTCATTGCTTTCTATACCAATTTATTGTACACCTTTATCTGGCATTACAATTTTAGCTGTTTTAAAAACAATACACTTCGTAAAAGAGTGTAAAACTTTGTGTCGAAAAACATACATACATACATACAAATATAAAAAAAAATAAAAATAAAAAAATAAAAACTTGGGTCTGCCACAATTTTTGGGGCAAAATATCTGAAATACCCTCCATGTAAATTGTGAGTAAAATCCACCACAATTAGACCTGTTAAGGGCATTTTAAACATTTTGTCTCATCTCAGTGAAAATTGTGTCTAAGCTCAAGTTGGGCCAATTGAGCAGCTAAGCCATCAGGTGATAAATGGAAATTAAAAATTAGTGCAAAGAGTTGAAACTTGAAACGAATTGCATTTTATTTTGACAGATGAATTACCTGGAAACCATAAACTACAAACAATTAAATTAATCGCTGTTATGAAAATATATAGTTATACGTGCAAAAAATTTAAACTTTATTACAGCAGATCAAAATGGGTTATAAAAGCTACGAGTACATTCAGGAAATTGTAAATCCTCAAAGGTTATTTTATTTATTTGACAATAAACAAAAAATATAGCACGAGAATAACGCCTAAAAAAAAAAAAAAAGAAAAAGAAAAAAAGAAGAAGGGATATTAATTTATGAATGTGCTGGTCAACATATCCTTCTCTTAATCATGGTGATTTTCTTTCACAAATCGATCCATCAACAAACTATTCTCCTCTTCAACAAAACCAAACTTTATCCGACAATATTCACATTTTTGAGGCCCACAGTTGACTATGTCAAACTCCGGAACAGTAAGTCATTACAGAGGCCTCCCTCAATTTTGTAAGATTATTATTTCTCCTCACTGCCATGAGGCCTGCGTTGCAAGCAAAGCACTGTTTATCTAAGGAAAAAAAGAAATTTAATTACCTTCAATCAACTTGTAACCTCAACAACCTCGGCTTCATTGTCGCTGTAATCTCCCCAGCATTTGCTCGGTTTCTCCTCGATCAAAATGCTATTGTTACATGATTCCTTTGCCATAGCAGTATCTCCGGTCAAAATAACTATATCTTTAGGATTTTCTTCAGTTTCAGGTTGTGTGTGTTCTTCATGGCTATTTTGCTCATTTGGCTGGTTTTCTACTACAGCTGAGGAGTTTTCTGAACCATTTGCAGATGCAGCTTCTGTTTGGTTTTCAGCACCCAAGTCGACAGAAACTGGTGTTGGTGTTTCTACTGAACTGACAGGAGATGCTGGGAACCCATTTTGAGTCACTGGACTACCATTTGTTGTTGCTGGATATCCGCTTGGTGACACTGGAATATTGGTTGGAGACATGGGGAAGCCATTTGGAGACACTGGCATGCCATTTGCACTAGCTAAATAACCATTTGGTGACACAGGATAGCCATTAAGGACCCAAGGCTGACCAGGTACAAATTCCGCAGCATGAGGGTTCATTATTCTAGGAGGGCTGAAGTGATTCCCATCCCCATTTTGTTCACCATTTTGGAAGTTAGGCTTGTTACGGGAAACCCGATTTCCAGATCTATTGTAGCCACCAGATAGCCTTGGACCATAAGGAACTCTAGCTGTTGCTGACTGGTGAGGGGATCTGCGAACCGGATTAACTGTAAGCATTGGAGGAATATTCACTGGTGGGGGAAGAATTCCTCCATGTTCTTTGAATCCTGGAACTGGAACTGGAACTGGAACTGAGCCAAAAACTGGAATTGTTGATGGGTTAAATGGGGGTGCAGCTGCAGAAAGTTTCTTTGTTGTCTCCTTCCCAGTTTCCGCATCATCTTGTTTTTCTCCTTCTGTCGGCGAAGACTTGACACTCATGCAGCCACTTGATACATCTTGAGAATTCTCATCTACTAGTTTTTCACTAGGAACTGAAGCATCCTTTTCTGCCAATAGAGCTGCACTTTCAGTTATAACAGATGGAGGCTCCAGATCATCACTTTTAGAAGAAGTGGTATTTGAATCTTTGGAAGTGTCTAAATTATCATGTGCAAGAACTGCAACATTTCCAGCATCGGCATTTATAACTTCATCAGCAGCAGTTTTATTGTCTACTATTCCAGATTCTTCTGCTGCTTGATTAGCATCAACAGATTTTTTTTCTTCTTGTGGCTTAATCATCCCCACTTCTGTTTCTGGATCTGCATTGATGGGAGTTTTCATTTCCTCAGGTTTCTGAACCTTTTCTTCCTTTGCATCTTTCAATACTGTCAACTCACCAACATTAACCACCGATGCAGCCACCTCATGGCTCAACTGAGGACTTTGTTCTGCAGGAAGATTTCCTTTTGGCAACTGTTCTGTCACTGCTTTGACAATTGTCCCAGGAGGAGCTAAAGCAACTTCTTTGTAGGAGAAAAGTTTTCCAGCTGCCTGAACACTTATTGGACTTGCCAACGAAGCCGATTTGGCAACTTGATCGATTGAAGCAGGGGTGGGTGGGGAAGATTTAGAGTTGGTTGATTTCTCTACTCCACCAGCAGTGGCACCAGAATTATTTTGCTTTGGACTGAAGCTTGCACTTTTAACAAACTTTTTAGGAACAGAAAGACTAGGTCCTGTGGTAGCAGCAGAGTCATTTGGAGATGTCCTCGGGGATGTAAAATTGGTGGGCTTTCCACGGAATCTTGATGATTGGGATACATTGATAAAGTTAGTATTTAATTTAGCCAGGCTTGGCCTCCTTGAACCAGAAGATTTGCGACTTGTAGGTGAACGGCCTTTAGGAACAGCTTCTTGCCACCCTTCATCTGATTCATCATCCGGTAGTATATCATCAACTGTATTCATTATTGTCTGTTCTGGTACACTCAAATCGGTTTTTTCATTCTTAGTTTCTGTAAATTGAACTTCAGATTTATTTTCTTTATCACTTGAATTCTCCACAGGATAAGTTGGTGAGAAATCTTCCTCCTTCTGAGATTCACCCAAGACAGTTTCCCAGTTTTGTCCTGGTTTGCCTTTAACCTGTGTGATCAGAAAAGAAACGTTATTAGATTAGTTGACAAAGTGAAAAGATTAATATGAGTAGCATAAGATAACAAAATATCCAGGTAAGAAATTTTAGGACCTTTGCACGAGCTTTCTTTTGAGCTTCTCTTGCTTTAATATCTGCATCTGGCGTTATATAATCCAAAAGGTCTGATACACTGGTTCAGAATGAGAAAGTATAGCAATTAGTCATTTAAAACAGTCTCAAGTTTCATGTGCCACTCTGGCTCTGTTCGGCAAAATTAGCTGGTTTAATAGTTGTTAACCATGGTAGTAGTCGCTTATTTTATTAGTGCTTCATCAAATGTTAAAGGGAATAATATTTAATAATATGCTGCCTCAAACTCTAAAATCTAACATTAACACTGTGTCACCGAACAATATTAATAATAGAAATTTTTGACCTTAGTCAAAACGCTAAATACTACATAAAAAGTCATTGCCGGACAAGGCCTCTAATCAAGGTAAGAGGTTAGTACAGTAGTGACTTTGATTCCACAAGTAGATAACATCATTTACAATGGTTTTAAATGACAAAAAGTGAGAGAAACCTATTAAAGATATGTCTTAGAAAACCACTCGAGTTATGAGAACAAGAGGCATAAAAATTATATTGAGAACAAGAGAAACCTATTAAAGATATGTCCAGCCAGCTTTAGACTTGAACATGACTTCATCTTTATGCATATAAAATAAAAATGAAAATAAAAGCTCATGTTACTATCTTATTATATCAAATGGAACCATGCATTTTTAAACCTAAAATTATTACCTTAAATGACCTTTACTTGAGATTGAGGCATCTGGCTTTGGAGTACCATTGCGTGCAGCTTCCTGCTGCTCTAGAGCCTTTGACTCAAAATACTCGAGCCATGCAGCTGCATCCTGTGAAAATCCATCACATAAATATTTCAGGAACAAGAATCGCATGATAAGATGATATTTGATATTTGAATATTAAACTCAATACTACCTGTGTGCGTAAATCCTCAGATCCAAGTTTAGCCTGAAGTATTTGTAGTGTAGTTTGTTCATGCTGAACACTTAAAGAGTACGCATCCATCAAAGAGAGAGCAATCGCTATGGCATGATAGCTGGCGGCAGTCTGAAAAAACCCGAAATGCATCAAGAATGAAAATTACGAATTATTACCCTACATTAGACAGTGAACATGCAGCACACAAGTCAAGCAGTTTGCTTCAAGAAGCAGGATATCATATCAATCTATAAGCTCATCATGCTTCTCATAATATTTGAGTTTTCCAAATAAATATTAAGGTCTTCTTAGTCAATGATCTATCAACATCCAGCTATCTCTTAAATACCTCACCTTATGATTCTCTTTCATCAGGATTTGGTAATTCAAAACTTGAAAGCAATACAAGAAAGGATTTAGAAGTTTGCAAGTCAATTACAGTCCTGTCAACTAGTGAAGCCTTATGCATTTTCTCTTCTCCTTTTCAACTTTTAAAGGCAGTCTATTAAAAAGGGAAGAAAAGGCCGAATAGTGTGTGCAGTGTGCATCATTAGATGGATGCTCCATATATATGCATATCCTCGCTGAGACATTTATCAAACCAAACAAAACAAATTTAAGTCAACTACAACAGATAAATCAGCAGTGATTTTCATGCATGGGATATTCCTAACTCATTGAAGAGTGGGGCCACAGTTTCAGATAGCATGAAGAGATACCAAGAGACCTGCCCTATAAACTTGTATTGCAATCCAACTTATTATTTTAATGGAAGTTCAGTGACAGAAATTTTAATCAATCGGTTGTTTGTCTTACAATCCTTTAGCTTTTGTTTAGATGGATGCAAAATATGGGAGGATGTAAAATAGGGGGTGAAAATGCATTGGAATTTTCAAATTACCTTGTTTGGTTTGGGTGAAAATATTAAGGTGTAAAATAAATTTATTTTACCTTGTACAATTTTCCTCTCAAAATGGATTGAAAAGTTACTATTCATATATAATAATAAAAATAAAATTATTTTACATCCTTATTTTACACCAATCCAAACAATTAGTGCAAAATAAGGAGGTAAAATGAATAGTATCATTTTACACGCTTATTTTATTACCTCCCTTATTTTACTTCCTCCCTCTTCCCAAACATAGCACTAGTGTTTTCACACTTGTAATTATCCAAGGTCTAATGGGAAAAAAAGAAATCCAATAACAATCTATTTGAGAAATTCTTCTTTTGCGTGTGTGTGTGTGTGTGTGAGTGAGATTGAGAGAGAGAAAGAGAGAGAGAGAGAGCTTGCCTGTATATGATCAGCACCAAGTAGTCTCTGGTTACACTTCAGAGCCTCATGGAGGTACCTAAGAGCAACATGAACATTGCCCAATCCTTCTTCCATCATTGCTACATTGATATAGGTGGCAGCAGTATTTGGATGGGATGGCCCACATGTTAAATGCAAAAGATACAATGCACGATTCACATACCTAGAAAAGCCAAAGAATAATCATAAGGGCACTTCTCTGAAGAGATTGAAGAAAATAAACCCACTCCTGAATAGATGAATAAATTTATATTGTTCTTTAGGATTTGCCTGCCCCTATTGGCACCATAATTGGCTTAAAACAAACTACTGCCAGACTCGGTTTTCCACATATCAGTGTCCAATTTTCTAGCACTGCACCAACACGCCTATGGAACAAGAATAATGGAAAATTACAAAATTAAAGCAATTGTCAAGTAAAACAGTATATAGACTTTAACTTTCATGAACTAAGATGGGTAGGATAGTATTATTTTCTTTAAATTTATGTTTGGAATACTGTCCTACTAGCTGCTAAGTCAGACCTGAAATTCTGCAAGCTCAGAACCTCACCTAAGCTTAGATCACCATTACCCAGACAGTACCATATTGTAAACTGGCTGGAATATTTTCTTTTCCCTTTTGGGATTTGAGGTAGGCTTAGGAGAAGGGAGCATACTACATATGCAAATGTGTAGTCAAACCCATATATCTAAAGTAACAAATCCCGCTGATTGGTTTCCATACTCTTTAAGGGAACAAACCCATCAAAGGAGGGAAATTGACTACATATGTAACTAAAAGAATCATACACCAGAAAGCTACTGGAGACTAATGAGGAACACCAATATGGGACAAAATCATCTACAAAAACGTTTTCCGATTTAAAAAATAAATCATACTTCAAGGCTAGTTCTGTGTGTTGAAGACGATAGTAGAAGACAGCTAGATCCCCATAACTCTTCATTGTATCAGGATGATCAAGCCCGAGTTCCCTCTCATTGATATCCAATGCTTTTTGCTGGTAAATGGTTGCCTAAATAAAGTGATGGAAGTTAGTGCATCGGAAACAATTAGAACAATTTATATCAAACATCACAGGGAAACATCTGGGCCAACGAGTTGGAATTGCGAATGGAATACTTCAAAATTAAGCAAATTTAATGCTTATTTTGTACGAATCTCAAATTCACTTTCATGCAGATTAGCAGTAAATATCTTTGCTATGCACTTATTTCCTAATAACAAGATATGTTTTTTCTTTTTCAAGATATTACAAAATTAGAAAAATTTGAGTGATTGTGAAATGCTTTTATTATAAATAAAGCAAAAAGAAGAGCCAAAGTAAAATATATTACCGGAAAGAAAAATGCACAATTCTAATTGTTATGGTCCTTATGGACATAGACAAAAATATATAATGTTATCCACAATCCTATAATCAATGAGTTTGATATTCTCTGGGTGACTAGATACTTAGCAGTTTAGCCCCGGAGAACATGCATAGAATGATAGAAGTATGCCACATGTTAAAGGACAAACCTGATTAAAATCTCCGGTGTGGTACAGCACTACAGCCAGCAGACTATAAGCTCCTGCAGTCATTCGATGATAAGGACCACAGACTGACACAAGTTTTGACAGTGCCTGCAAAATTCAAAGTGAAATTGATTTAAGTTACTGGTTGTATACAGTGATAAAAGAGAGAACCAAATGACAGTATAAAAGACGGGCAGTATCCTCGTACCTTAGTGCCATAATTAACAGCATCCTCCAATTTACCTTTATCCAAGGAAGTTTTAGATGATTCCAACAATGTGCGTCCATCTGCAGATGAACATGTAACATGCTGCAGGAAAGAAGTAACAGTGTCAAAGCAACTAATATACTATAGTAGAATAAAATTCCATTTCTAACATGATCTATCCATGTCTCACCTTATACACAGGAATCACACTTATGATATCTGACTTCCTAAAAGGGGATGCAGTATCCATGTTATAGTCCCTTGGAAGGAGCTCAAGCCCGACCTGGCAAAAGATGACTTCATTTATAAATTTATAATTTTATAAATTATCCTAAGACATTTCATGCATGAGGAACATTGTTCAAACCTTATGGGACAGCCCACGAAGAATTGCAAATTTTCTTATTTCCTGGCAGCTTTCATGCTTCCACCACCACCCAAACCTTTTGAAAAGGAAGGTTTCCACCCACTTCCACTTCAAATTATCATCATTTATAATGTCTGCGTCCTCATTTTCAGCTGAAGGTGTTCCTAGTAATATATTTAGACATGTTGCAACCGATGCAGCCAAGTCAGAAATATTACTAACTGCAGCCACAACAGCCTGTAATATGTGTTTGTAGGCTCGAACAATCATTTCATGCATACAGAGTGATTGCACATGAGGGAGCTTGTCAGCAAGTTCGACCTAGAATAACAGCAGGACAAAAGATTAAGCTTTCAATCCTCAATCCAGCTATGTAGCTACTTATACTTTGCACGAGCACTTTAAGTACAAAGTCACTGTTATTAGTTAGTTGGTGAGTTGAACTTTCAATGTAGTGATAATATGACAACATTGGAAAAAGAAATTTCATAGCACTAACTGGAACGGGATATGAATATGAATATGAATATGAATATGAGCACTCGACTGAAATTACCTCTCTCAAACAAACTTTGTAATTATTCTACTTGGGAAAAGAATCAACATGATAGAAACAGATGTAGTAGTAACATAATTTTTAGTCCTCCGCATAGGAATAGCCCCCACAAATCTTGGAGAATAGGACCTCTTCACAACTATCATTTTATGTTTAGTTTATTTCTGCATTAGCAGTATTTTTTTTATATTAGGGTTTTCTATTTTATTTTTCTCTATACAAGATTGTTGCCCCTTTAGGCATATTTGGTTTTTGATCGAATTAAATATTTTGGGTAACTATCTGGGAATTCTACATCAATAGACTCCAATATACATTCTAGAAGAGCTAAGGGCTTTTAACAACCCCTTATTAAAAGATAATAATCGGCCAAATTGGATTCATAAGAGCACCAACCAAAACTCCCCTTTTAGTTTCATTTTGAAGATCATGTTCCTTGTTATTGAGACAGCTGTTTAACTTTACAATTTTAAATAGGATCCTCAAATCAGCTTGCTTAATTAATTGCACCATCCTACCCACCCTAACAAACATTTACAAAGTATTCTGCTGTAATGATGGCAACAGAAGTAAATTCATTAAAGTGAATTTGTTAACTTATGCTGACATATGCAGCTAGATATGTTACTCTAATAAGCACAGCTGTCTAGTTACAAAGTATTCCAATTTAGGAAAAAATTATGGCCTTCTAGCCAATTAACTCCCCTTTCAACTAGATTTATTCCAAACATTAACAAGTGCAATAAATACTTGTTTTCTGCAGTAGCTTTACTTCCCCTTCTTTTTTTTTTACCAATCCACCACAAGGAAAGACTATGACGATTAAATCTTAGATGTAGTAAAATGTTATCTATCCAATGGCACCAAAGGTTAGTAAGATAATAAGAAAAGACATAATTGAGAATTTACCACACGTCCTAAAGAACACATCTGCAAACCCCTAGTATGCATAAAATCTGTCAAAGTTCTTCCATCAACTGGTGAAAGTTCAAGGGAGCCAAAATCAGCCACCTGAAAAGTTGAAAGCATGAATGGAGCAGTTTCATTGCAAAAATGTCAGCCATACATAAAACATGTATTATTGAGTAACTAACCAGTTTGGGAAGAGCCGTATCAGCATAGTATTTATGTGCCATTTCAATCAACTCCCCAGGTGACTGCGAAATCAACAAAACCGAACAAATGTGAATCTAAAAATTGCACAGGCTAAGTTCACATATAAGTGCATGTTTCTGAAGCATGCAAAATCAGAATTTGCCCAAGAATCCATAATCTCAGAGTTCAATTCTTGAGCTGATTATGTGAATCTTAAGAGAAGACATAAAGGAAATATTTAAGCAATAAATTTTCTCAAAAGCATAAGAAATTACCTTGAGATGAAGACCAGTTTCTGATTCTTTAAGGCGCAAATATGCAGCCTCATGCAGCAGTTTTTTCCATATGATTTCCATTTCCTCCTCTTTCTTCTCCAATTCCTTCTGACTAATACCATCCAGTTTCTTGTTCATGTCAAGGTTACCTGGAGTAACATCTTTTCCCTCTTCTCTGCTGCTTCTGACATCTATTTTCTTCTTTATCTCCTTTAGTAATGCACCTTGCTTTCCAAGTCCCTTCACAGTAGGCTCAGGCTTAGTTTCTTCAATTTTCTTAGACTCAGTTTTCCCTGAAGCCTGATTTTGCAAATGTTGAACCCAACATGCTCCTAGCTCCCATCTGATAGACTTTGTGGGTGTACTAGGTTCTTCCTGCAACTTTAGCAGACTATCTTCTAGTACTTTTCTCACCAAAGACCTAGCAAAATATAAGCCTTCAGATTCTCCAGTCTGCCCTCTCTGGACTGGACTACTTGATTGAGGTGTAGATGACTTGTGCAGTAGCATTCTCAAGCTGAAATGAAGAAAATAGAAATTAACAACTCATGATGCTCTTACGGTGATAAATTGCAATCCTATGAGGCAGATAATTTCTTAGAATGATATGTCTGCTGCATAGCGTGGGCACGCATGCAAGCAAGCACATGTTGTCCAGGAACAGGACAAAAAGTACGGATTTGGTTGTCATTGCTTAGGACTTAGGAGTATGTAAAACAATAGCAATTGATTAAGAGCTATTCATGGTCCATTTTTACTCGATAGCCTAAAGCTAGCAGATGAACAGACCTATTAACGTTCAAGGCATTCGCACCCCCTTCAGGCTGGTCTTCAATGTCAATATCCTGTGGAATAGGATTCCCCTCCCAATTTACATCAGCTGAAACTTTAACAACAGCTGTGTAGCCACAATGACGAACAACCACAACACCTAAAGTAGAAGTATCCTACAAGAGGTCAAGAGCAAAAAGTTCTTTCAGCAATTCATATAGCCTGCTTCAGTCAAAATAATGAATGCATAAAATTATTTTACTGACATGAACAGTTGCACTTTCATCAGCAGTTATGCCTTTAAGTAAATTTCTCTGAGCAAGCTCTTCCTGTGACATATCCAGTACCCGACTCCCGTCATTTTTACAATCCAACTTGGTACTTGCATCCGGAACATCTCTTGTCACCTTAATAATCAAATCTCCCACTTTTTCCTCAAGCAGAACTGATTTGATGGGATCATTTAAAGAGTTCTGATTGTTGTCAATAATACATTTGATCGCCACAACAGCTTTGAGAACAGAGACGTCGACAAATAAACTATGGAGCAGAAAAGCTTTCCTATCTCGGATTTGCCTTTCTTCTGCTGTTTTACAAGGCATTGCTGCTAAAATTGCAAACTCCTTTGCCCACGGCCTGTGATCATGTTTGCCATCTCTTCCTTGTCCACCTCCACTACCTCCCCAGTTCTCATCCTCATCGGGAAGTGGAGGGAAAACAGATGGGTTATCAGCAACAACTGGAGGAACAACCCATGTGTTTGCTCGAAAACCATAAGGAAGATTGCCAAACTAAAAATGAAATAAAAACAAAATAAAACAAAAGCTCCTTCCTCATATTAATATTTAGACCAGAAAAGGAGGGAAAAAGAGAGGAAAAAGAGGGAGGGAAGGTAAAACCTACTTTATTGTGCTCAGTGAATGCTTTCATGAGAGCCTTGTAAGCCTGAAAAAAAAAAAGAGAAGAAGTTTAATTTAATAAATAACAAGTGAATTTCAATAAAGAGACTGCACCAAAGATAATAAAAATATGTGAAATTAATTAAATTAGAACTTACAGCATCAAAGACTCTGCTGATCTGCTGGAGCAGACTAACCAAAGAGTGACAGAGAAGAACATGTTTCCCGGCAGGGTAAAACCCTTTCCGTGAAGCTACAATTGTCATCGGCTTTCCACTGCAAACCCTAACCTGCAATTACAATTTTGCAATCTATGATCAGCCAATAACCTAATTTCATTCAAAAATTAAAATAATAATAATAATAAAACAAGACTCACATCTATTTGGAAGAAATCATTTTCCGTTTTGTCTTCAAGGAATGGACGAGCCGATCTCCTAATGTCTGCAAGTTTTAACCCAAAAACATATAATTAATATAGCAAAAGACAATCATTATGAGAATTTCACAATTTTACTTTAAGAAAAAAGTACAATAATGAGGTAGAAACTTACACTGGACCGGCGGCGTGAGGTGCGAAAAAGAGAAGAAATCGTAGAACTGCCCCAGCCTCGGCGGCGGACACATTGAAATGGCTCCTGCCGCAGTGTCCATCTTCTCCGGTACGTCCTTACAACCATCCTTGCAACCGATTTTACAGTTGGCCACACCAATTTTCTTATCTTCTTCTCCTTTCGGCTTTGGATTGGGATTGTCTCCATTGTCGGAACCGGAGATCTGAATCGGATCTGTCTCCGACAAACCGGTATCCTTCGGACCAAACTCTTTCGAATTGGCTCGTCCAGCCGGTTTGGCCGACGATGGGCCGAACGAGGTGGTGCAGGCGACGATGTCGAGGAGTCGCCGGATATGAGCGACAGCTTGCTCTTCTGAGTAGTCCTCTGTAACGAAAAATTTCGAATTCTCGTTACGATTTCAATTCACGAAAATGCGTGGTTTTTGGGTAATGATCTGATGGTCGTCGTGAACAATTAACGTTGTGTATGTATTGGATTATATACCGTTGGATTTAAGGGGTTACCTTCAACGATGGTGAGGTGGCAGGGTTTTAGAGAGGCGATGTCTACGGAATCCTTGAGCCTTGGTCCCCGCACCTGTAAAAAGTTTAGCAGTTAGTTACACGTGTATCATCCACGTTATCATCAGCTTCTTTTTTTTTTTTTTGTTCTTTTAAATTTTTTAAGCCTGAATAATGCTAGACATTTTTTAAACATCACAAAATCTTAAGAGAGTAAATATATATTTTTTGTTCCTTTTGGTACAATGGGAAGAAATTAATCAAAATAGAAAAAGGAGGTATCATATTTTATTCGGAATAAGAAGTGGTACCAAAAAATGATTGTTAAATAATTAAAATTTTATAGTTAATTCTAGAGATAATTTTGTCTTTTAATTCAAATAAGTTGTATATTTTATTAAATCGGCTTTAAAAAAATTCATTAAAAAAATTTAAATAATCAAATTACTATTTTAGTCAGTTTATTAAATCAGCTCAAATAAATAGATTTACTTATTTTTATTTGAATGAATAATCTATAATCTATTTATTTTAATGTGTATAAATAGTATCTCATATCATACAGAAGTCAAGAGCGATTGCTTGTGTATCCAAAGAAAAGAGGAGGCATACGAGGCATTAAAATTAAAAATATATTATTTTTTTAATTATAGAGAAAACTTATATAAATATATATATATATATATGTATATATATATATATATATATGCAGAGCTACAATTGAAAAATAGGGGCCAAAATTTTTTTGAAAAGTTATGAAATGAAATTAAAAAATTATTAGTTCAATGGACAAAGTTAAAAAATTTCACTATTTAAAAGGGTAAATCTTCAAAAAAAAAAAATTTCTACTAAAAAAATACTCTCTCCGTCCAATTTTGTTTGCATGGATTGACAAAATATGTATATTAAAAATTTAGTCAATAAATATTATTTTGTTATTCTTTATCATTAGCTCATTAATATATTAATAAAACATTTTTATTTCATGAACAATCATAAAAATTATTATGAGAAAAATAATTGTTTAAATATACAAATTTAGAAACCCTGCAAAAATTTTGAGACATCCAAAAAATAATAACAAACAGACAAAATGGAACGAAAAGAATATGAATTTTCATAAAAAAAAAATCTTTATTAAAAAATATAGTCACTCTATCTAGTGCCACTATACCAAGGCTCAATTGAATAAAGATAAGAGTTTAAGAGTCTAGTTAATTTATTCAAACAAAAGTAAGAAAACTCAATTCATCAAAGAGGGGTAAAAATGAAAGTTCTCCGATTATAGTATTTTATATCAAAGAGGATAATTTCACGACCAATTCTCTCGATTTTTTTTTTTAATTTATGGTTTAGCGGGTACTAGTTTAGAGTTTCTCTCTATCTCTTTTATCTCTGATTTATCTAATCCTAGTTTTTATTTGGGACTGCCGTTGTTAATCAGCGGTAGCCCCCTGCTTTTCTTTTTTCTTTTTGCTTATAATCTTTAATTCGATTTTAATAAACTCACTTCTATTTTCTTTTAATAGATCTGTTTTTTCTTTTTTCTTTTCATTATTGCTTTGTCTTCATATTTGAAGTTTTTTTGTCCTTTGTTCTGTGATGATTTAGTTCATTCTTTGTGAAAATTTATTTTTAAAATGTATGATATTTGATTTTATTTGATTGGAGAATTTAGATATTGTTTTACTGATGTGTATTCCACGAGAGTTTAGTTCATTCTTTGTGAAAGTTTATTTTTAAAATATATGATATTTGATTTTATTTGATTGTAGAATTTAGATACTGTTTTACTGATGTGTATTTTCGATCAATAGAGTCTGGTAGTGCGGCATATTCCTCCATTAATGCTATTAATGCATAGTGGCTTTAACTCATCCATGTACGTTATACGCAAAAAGTTTTTGAAAAAACAATCAAAGTATAGAAGATCCAGAGGAGTTATTATGTCGTCCAAACCAATTAAAAGACTAGTTGTTACTATGAAGATTTATATCGGTCAAAGTTATCTTCAAGCGGAAAAATCCAATATTATTATTATTTTTTTAGTTTTATTATTCAAAAGAAAATAGATTATTGTTTTGTTGTCAAATGATCAATGAACTTTCTATTAATTATAATAGTAAGTTCAATGTCTGGTTTAATTGAATATTTTGTAATACTTGATTTTATTATTAATGAATTATATTTCTAAAAAAAATTCTCTCGATATTTAAATATTAGTATAATTATTATGCTACTAAACACTATAAATAATAATAATAATAATAATAATAATAATACTTTAGTCTAGATTAAGCATTAAATATTACCTTGAAAAATTTTACTTTTTTTATTCTTAGTTGAAATATATTAATCATTTTGTAACATAACTTGTTACCTTACTAAATTATGTAATAATAAAAATATTGTTTTAAGCTTTATTTGCATTAATGGGGTTATCTATTAAAACATGTAATCCACAATATTATTTTTACATTCACTCCCTTCCTCTCAAGAAGTAAAAGAGAAAAATTGGACCAAGGACAAATTTTTGGCAAATTGCGTGGGTGAAAAATACAAAATAGTAAAAGAAGAAGGGTTACCTCGTGAGACAGAGAGAAGTTGGTCAAATGACATGTCTCGACGTGTACACCTAAAAGCCTTCTCACATCCAAGATCCGATCCGTTGAGATACCCTACGAAATATTTATTCAACCAATTAAAATTTTGAGATATTATTAATAGAAAATTGAAACAAAAGTAAAAATACCCTCTTGAAAAATAAAGTGTAAATTAGAATGCATTCCTTATATACATTGATATTAATATTAATATTCATCAATTAATATAATTATCATTTTTAATTACATATCCATATTTTTGATATCACAAATGGAATTTTCATGTTTATTATAATAAATAAATTAGATATAACACAAAAAATTAAATAAATACCTTGAGAGTAACTTGTGAGTCATCTGGTGTTTCCACAGTGATTTCAACAACAGTAGGCAAAACTGTACATTGCATGAAATTTGAACAAATTATAATTAAAAATAACAATTTATTCCATATAAATTATTTTAATTATTATTATTATTATTATTGTTATTATTATTATTATTATACATAATAAATATAAAACAGCATTGGTACGAAAAGATAAAGAGATAAGAGGGAAAAGAAAGATTGGAAGTGAAAATCTTTGAACCATACATTAATTTTTCTATTATACATTTAGCTATTTATAAAATTTAAATTAGTATAATAGAAATAAATAAAAATATATTAATATTAATATGACAATGAAAACAGAGACCTTTCTCTTCCTTCTTCTTTTTGTCTCCCTTGGCTTTATGAGTTTTTGCCTTGCCAGTTTTAGGAGCCATTTTGCATAAAAAATTAATAAAATAAGAACTCTGTTGGAATCTTAAATAGGTAATTTATTTTTAGTTGATAATAAAAGAACTCTGTGAATTGCTCAATTGAATGAATAATTTCTATCAGCATGCAAAATCTTTAACAGAAACAAGAAAATGAGCAAAATAACTCAATCCAACCAAGCAGTACTCTTTGCCTTTCAAATACAAGAAACAAGAAAGCAGTTTCAAGAAAACTGGAAGGGAACGAAAGTTCAAGAATTGATATGTCAAAGAAATAGCTAAAAAGATAAAGAAAGCGGTTTCCTTTTTTCTCTGTGTTTCATAGTTAGGAAATAGAGAGAGGGAGACAAAGTGAAGATAGAGAAATGAACTGAAGTAGAGAGTGTGTAATGATAAAAGTGCGAGGAAGAAAGGAAACTGGGGACAGAATTGAAGAGCATAAGAGAGAGAGAGACAGAGAGAGAAAGATAACTTAAATTCTTGAAAAGAGGATATATTGAGAGAGAGAGGATGGATAGGATAAGGTAAGCCGAGACCTTTCTCATACACAAAAGCACAGAAAGAATGTAAGGTTTAGCAATTTCAGGCCTCTCATTTTTTAAAATTATATTTCCTTCATAGCACCTCATCGCTTTCTTTCTTTCTCTATAGGCTAAAGCTATCCTTGTTGTTATATATATGTAGATTGTCTTCCTCTCCTTTACTTTTCTTTTTCTAGAATTGGAAAATGGTAATTTTGTCTTTGTAAAGTTTACTAGACTTTACTTGGTTGGGACAAATTTATTCACTCGTATATTTTATATAAAAAAATCTCGTAATATCCTTAGCTTTATCAAAAATTTATCATATTTCTAAAATTATTAATTTTGATAGCATTACGCTTGTCTTCGTACCAACAAAAATAGTTTTCTAATATTTTTAATTTTATAAGTAAAATGTTGATTCGATGTGCGGTTATCACAATTTTTAATTTTATGAGGTATTTCTTTAATAAAAAAAAGTCAAACTATATATTGGGAGCATCATAAAAAATATATATATAATCCTAGAAATATGTTGAAGTTATCAGTGTAATTGTCTTAGAAGATAATAAATTATGCTTTTAATACTTTTGAAGGCATATTTACGGCCTTTGGGTCTTCGTCACAACAAACCAAATTCAAGATTATTTTCTAATATACTTTTAATTTGTATAAAGAGTAATGGACAATGTTTGAATACTCGATCAGTGAAGATTGCAGATTACGTCTTAGCCCCATGTATATAATTTGAGTAAAGGGTACGTTTCTTTTAATATAAAACAAAGTGTCAAACTATATTATTGGGGAGCATACAATCATAAAAAAGTCATTATATTATATCTTTATAATAAACTTATTATATAATATATGTATAAATAAAGATGAAAGTATAAAGAGACAGTGTATAACAAAACGCAACTATATACTTTTGAATTTTATATAGGTGTTACTTTTTACAATTGTAGAAGGCAGGAAAACAGACAATGCATTGTAGCAAACACAGCCACAATGTGGGGTTTAGAAAAACTGTAAGTATCAACATTGAACCCAACCAATTATGTATAGGCACAAATACATTTGTGGGTGGGTGTGGTGTTAGTAAAATCTTTCCTACGTATTCATTGGTGTGTTGTTAGGTACTTTAAATGCCGACATTATACTAAGAGTGTAATTTATGATTAACGTGGCCTTTCCAAGTTAGGTCAATTTTATTATCTCAAACAGAAGTTTCTAATAGGTCTACTAAGTATGTAATGTGTGATAGCGGGGGTAACTTCCCTGTTTTCCAAAAGTGTCAAGGGGTTTAAATGTTGACTGACATGCTGCCTTTATTCAAAGTACGTAATTGTTGGCATATAGCTTTGATAATGTTGTTATGTAACATTCTTATATGTTACTCACTCTAAATGCTGATACGTCAGAGGGCTTTTCTCCATATTTAATGTTAGATACTAATAGTTCTAATCTTAATTATGGTACAGGTAATATATTTTTCCTCAATGAGGTTTTACTGATGGAATTTCACACCACTGTAAAAGAAAACGAAATAATATTTAGCCGGACTAATTAAAAATAATAATATTGATAGAAGCTTGTATTATCTTAGTGTTACAACAGTGTAACACTTGTTCGTAACTTTTTTGGTGGAAAATGCTTGCTGTTTGAACATAATATATTTCTTTAGCAGTATTAAATTCATTTCAATGTTTTAGAAGAATTTTATTAAATAAAAAATTAATCAAAGGAAAATTTTTGTTCTAACGCAAGAAGAAGAACTTAGATCAAAACCATTTAAAAAAAACTTCAACTTTTAAATAAAATTTTCCATGCACTAATTATAATTTAAAAGGTAAGAATTTTTGATTTATAAATATAATTCATATATAAGTACTAACAACGCAACTATATATTTAATATATATGTACTAAGAACAGACATGCATTTAGCACACAGCCACATGTGGGGTAGCAAAAAATATCACACAACCAATATGTATACACAAAATACATTTGTGTGTGTGGTGTTAGTAAAATCTTCTACGTATTCATGGGTGTGTTGTTAGTACTTTTAAATGCGACATTATACTAAAATGTAATTTATATTAAACGTGGCTTCCAAGTTCGTAATTTATATTAAACATGACTTCTAAGTTCTAAGTATGTAATTTAGGTAACTTCCTGTTTTCCAAGTTCTATTCAGATTTAAGTACGTTGCTTCCAAGTACGTAAATTTGGCAAGTTGAAAGTTATCAACTTTCTATTTTATATTAAATGTGTCGTCAGAGTTTCATTTAATTATATAATAAGTTTATTTATTTGGAAGGTAATATATTTTCCATGTATTTACTGATATCAACCACTGTAAAAAAACGATAATTAGCGACTAATTAAAAAATATATTGATGAACTTGTTATCAGTCACATATCCTGACTTTTTTGTGATAAACTTGTTTGAAAAATATTTTTCGAATTTTCCATGTTTAGAATATTCAGAAAAAATTAATCAAAGGAAAATATTTTTCTAACCAAAGAGAAAAATAAACCATTTAAAAAAAACTTCAACTTTTAAATAAAATTTTCTCAATAATTATAATTTAAAGTAAAATTTTATTTATAAATATAATTCATTTGTTGATAAAGTGTCTAACATGACATAATATAGACATATATTAATTATTATATTGAAATATCAGAAAGTATAATTCTATGGAAATAAATAAATAAAAAAAAATACCAGATTGTATTTACTCTTGAATTTCATAATATGTTTAAGCTTGTTCTTTTCTTGAAATAGAGAATACAAGAAAAATACACAAAGGAATAACTACAAAAGCTGCAATCTTTAGCAAGTCTTCACTCTCCTTAGAGATCACACCAATTCTTGACCAATCTCCACTGTACCTATCAATTGAAATAATAATAATAATAATAATTTGAATTGTTTATCTTATGCATATTATAGATAAGAATTTATGAGGAATAGAAATAGTGTACATGTATGTGGAAGGAAAGAAAGCTTACCCAGCATCTATGAAGCCCAATCCAAATACTGCAACGGCAGACTGAGAAAGAATTGAATTTGAAACTCTTAGTGGAAAAAAAGGTTGTTTCTTTTGAGTTTTTGAATCCTCAGACAAATCATCCCTCTTTTTAGCCAATGTGGCGAAGTATTTTTGGCCATTTTTCTTTGGAGGATAGAGATTGGAGGAAGAAGAAGAAGAAGAAGAAGAAGAAGAAAGGTTGTTAAAGAAGAAAAGGGTTCTGTTTTCTATGGCCACCATTGCATTTCGCATTTGGGCCTGTGGATTTTCGGTTTTACCATCTTATCCTATAATAGGGCTATAACATCTGAAAAAAGGAAGTTGCAATGGCATGGTGAGCTTTGTAATTTTTGATATTATTATTATTAATGATTTGCATTTAAAAAAAAAAATTTACATATAAAAATAGTGAGTATGTTTTAATATATAATTTATTATTATCATCATTAGATATATAAAGTAAAAATTAAATTTTAAATAATTTTAAATATATATAAAAATAATTAGCGTGGCGGGCACGTGGGCTGGCTGAGGCCTGCGAGCCCAGCAGTTGTTTCCGAATTCTTTTCGAACCGAAGTCTCACCATCTTCTTCCCTCTGTATCTGAAACAGAAAACCCCTCCTGAACCCTCCAAGCCTAACAATGGCGATAACAGGTCTCCCACAACCGCCCCAAATCCACAGACTCCCTCAATTTAGATACGTCGATTCAGTCCGATGGCTTCCTTCTCTTTCTCCATTCCAAAAATCCCTCATTTTCGCTTTTTACGACGCTGACACCAGCACTCCCTCTCTCGAAGTTCACTCTCTAAGCTCCTCAAAAACTCTAGCTTTACTCTCCTCTTGGACCCCACCTTCTCGCATCTCCTCCCTCAAATCCACCTCTTCTATCATCGCCGCCTCCACGTTTTCCGGTTCCCTCTACATCTTCCCTACTGCTGACAAAAGCCATGAATCTTTGGCTATGGAGCCGCAGGTGTCAGTGGTGGGTGTGGATTTTCATTTGGGGTCCATTGGGGGAGTGGATTTGATGGAGGGAGGGAGTGAGTGTGTTAGCGTTGGCGAAGATGGGAGGATAAATTTGGTTAGGGTTTTTGTCGAGGGTTCTTATGGAAAGGGAAATTTTAGGAGGGTTTTTGATGGGAATGGATTGGTTTCTTATACAGCTGTGAAATGGGCTTCGCCAACTGAGTTTGTTACCGGTGGTTATGGCTTTGGGCTCCAATGGTGGGACCTTAGACGACCTGGTGCTGCTGTTGCTCAATTCCAGGGTAACTGGTGAGTGCATATCTATGTTTATGGCACATTTGTGATGTAATTGGATTTTTCATAGTAATATTTTGTAGTTGATATTTTCTTGCAGTTGAAATTTGGACCTTACTAGACGTTGAATTATTAAAGTGGTGGTTTTGGGTATATTACTGTTGTTGATCTATAATATAAGTGCAATGTTCTAGGATATTACCTGTTCTATAGATGCGTGTGTGACTTGGGATAAATGATATTACTCTTGTCCATTTTCTAATCTCTTGGTTGCTGAATTGTTTAACCTGCTTAGTATGTGATTCTTTACGAATGGTCTGGCTAATAATTGTCAATACTGCAGCAAAATTAGTAGAGAGGAACGCAGACAAAACTTGACTTGTATTATGCTCGCGTATTATTTGGTTGAACAGTAGTTTAATTGGGGGAAAAATGTTGTGGTTTGCTTAAAGTTCTTCGTCAATGAAGTTTTTCCTTTAATAGCTTTTCTGTTCCGATAATGTAGGAGATAATTGATGGGGAATCAAGATTGCTTGTCAGCGGTCCTAGAGTTTCATTTCTTGGGATTGAGACTAAAAGTATTTGTATCCCCAATTATGGGTTATCACTTGTTCTACCACCATCTCCACAATATAACTGTTACTTTTAAGTTTCAATTGTCAACCATCATTTCTTGGAGTCACCACTTACAACCTTTGTGAAAACTAATGATCCGCCATTCCTTTTTTGGTTGTTACTTTCCATTTTCAATACTGCCATCAGAACCAACACTGACACAAGTGTGTACACTTCATGAGAATCTTGATGAGGAAACAAAAAGCGAAAATAGAATAACACACGTGAATAGCAAAATATTTAATATGACAAGCAGAAAATTGTGTGTGCATCTTATACTTAAAAATATGTGAAGTTATTAGATGTAGTTGCAGAGCTCTACATTGGAATTATTATAAAGCATCTATATAACATTCAGGATGAGAAATTAAGTAGCATGCAAGTGATCTGCCTGCACTAGTGATTAAAAATGGTTTATTGATCACATGCTTGGCTGCTTGTTTGATGCATTTATGCATTTACACAATATTACAAATCTTAGTCACTATGGCAAGAATTGTATTGATTTTCCTATGGGGTTATTACTGTAGGGATCATAGAACAACTTCTGGGATCATACACTCCATTGATATTCATCCATCAAGAAAGCACACATGTCTGGTAAGATAGCTGCTCCACCAATATCTTCATTCCGATTTAATATGTGAATGGTTATGGATGTCACTTGTTAGCAGAATTCCTTGTCTATTTTGTTTGCATGCATGCAGGAAATTTTTGCTGGTCTGCTAGCTGTCTATCCACTCCCTGCCACTATTATCTTCGTTAATAAATCTTTGTGGATTTATGCAGCAGAAATTATGTTTATTTAACTCCAGTTAGTATTATTAGTTGCTAATACTTAGTGATAAAAGATGTAGGAGGAAAGGTGATTTGACTGTCTCAAACCATAGTGAAGTTGACATAATGGATTAGCTAGTGAAAATTTAATTGGTTCACACAGTTTTCCTGCTCAAAGACGACACTTATTTTGATTTGCGATGAGATGTTTTCGTTCAGTTTGAATTTTAAGCTGATTAATTTTTAGGCAGGAGGTTCTTCAGGCACTGTATTTGCCTGGGATCTACGCTGGCAACAAGAACCAATTATTCTTTCTGGGGTTAGGACAAATGAATTGATGACCCATTCATTATCTGGAAGTGATATTTGGGAGGTTCAGTATGACAGCTACATGAAGTCTTCTGGAAATAATATCTCATCCTCACGGATCTTACCTGCAATGACCTGCTCAGAAGATGGGATCCTTGCTGTTATTGAACAAGGTCGGAAGTATTTTCTTTTTTTTTTTTTTTTTTTTTTTTTTTTAATATCCTCATCCTCACGGATCTTTACCTGCAATGAACCTGCTCAGAAGATGGGAATCCTTGCTGTTATTGACAAGGTCGGAATATTTTCTTTTTTTTTTTTTTTTTGTTTTTTGTGTTTTTTTAACAAAGAATAAAACTAAAATAAAAAGATAATGGATCTCCAGCTAAGATTGTTTCATGATTTTTCGCTAGTGAATATACTATCATTTGTTTTCTTGTAACCATATCTCGGTCAGACTATTGAGTATTAAATTCTTTGAATTATACTGTTTATCTTTTGGCCTGCATTGACTTAAATAGTTGTGCTATGATATTGGAAAATCACTAAGTGTTGGCCTTGGATACTTTTTTTTTTTTTTTTTTTTTTTTTTTTTTTTTTAACAAAAATAAAATAAAATAAAAGATATGGATCTCCAGCTAAGATTGTTCATATTATCTAGTGATCTACTATCATTGTTCTTGTTAACCATATCTCAGGTCAGACTATTGAGTATTAAATCTTTGATTATATGTTTATTTGCTGATTGATTAAATGAGTGTGCTATGATATTGGAAAATCAAATGTGCCTTGGATACTTAAATCAGGACTGATTAAGTGTGCATGTTTGTTTTTCTTCTGCTTCTTTAGGCGAGGAACCCAATGAGCTCTTGGCTGAACCATGTGCAATCAACTGCTTTGACATTGATCGCCAAAACCCTTTGGTATGTTGAAAGCTTGCACATATATTGTAAAAGTTCAGAGAAATATATTTTTGATGTTCTATGTACTGCTGTGCAGGATGTGATTTGCAGTCTGGAGTGGGAGTCTGTAGCCATAGTGTCAAGACCCTAGTTGGACATGGAGAATGCAAAGCTAAAGTAAAAAATGATTTAATTTTTCGGACCTGTTATCAGGGCAAAGCTTTTTACAGCCATCTGGAGTTAAAGCACCGCATCATGCATGTGCTAGAAGCGTAGAGCAAGTCTTGTTTATTCTTTTGTTGGGCATGTTCTTGTATCAGTGATTTACAAACAATTATAATGCCCTGTATTTACGAATTGTGAGCCCATTGTGCATGACAGGCTTGCTGTTGTTGGAAGCACTTGATAAGCACTGATTTCTCATCAGCGTAACCTCCCAGAATCAGTGTGTGCCATGCAGAATTACTGCGTATTGGTACCTTGAGACTTGACTGTTTCCCTATCTGCAGAAGCTGGCTTGATGTTGTAATTGATTCCAAAGAAACGCAATTTGATTTTACTTTTTTGACAACAGTAGTACAGTGAAAAGCTTGTTTGCTTGCAGTACATTTTTTTGTGATTACAGAAGAAGTTGAAATCTAAAGTGGTTTGGTTAATTTTTTGCCTCCTACCTTATGATGTCCTTCCCCATCACATTGAATGAGGTTGACTTCCGGAATTAAGGGTCTGTTTTGATGTGCAATTGGAAGCCATAACTTGATGTTTGCTAATCAGAATGTCTGGATCACTTTTTTTGGATCCTGACTTGTAATCCTAAGTCTCAAGTTGGATTGGAATTGGCCATGAGTTGAGCTTAAAGAAACTAAATAAAAGGTTGTGGCTGGCTTGAACTTACATGGGCCTTGCTATCTGAAAATGTATTTTTTGGTCAATGAAAAGGTGGGTTCTTTCAGGTTATACAGCTAACGGCAAAAACGGCGACGGATTACACTGAACTGTAAATACACAAAAGATAGAGGACTTGAATTGTCTGTTTCTTCCATCCACACCCATATCAAATCCACTTCACAACTTCTTCTGCTCTTCCCTTTATCTTTGTTCCTCCAAAACATTAACGGAAGCAACAAACAAAGCAAAAATGGCTTCTTTAACGATTTTATCTTCCAATTTGAAGTTTGGCCCTTTACATTTTCCTCCAACGACAACAACAACAGCCCGAGTCCCTTCTATGTCTGCTCAACTCTCTCCATTTAATAAGTTGAACAACAACTCGCTCAGACTCAGTTCGGCTCGTAACATTTCTGGGTCTCACTCGTTTTTCTCCCAAAAACCCTCTACTATCTCTAGTCTCACTCAAAAATTCCAATCTCTTACAGTTTTTGCTGCTAAAGGCTACAAAATGAAAACCCATAAGGTCAATTTCTTTCCTTTCTCAATATGTATGGAGTTTTTGTAGTATAATTTTGCACCATTTGAGCCCTAATTTTACCAAATGGAATTTTTAAGATTCGTTTGGTTTGATTAATGATCAGTCAAATTGTTACTATTGCATTTAATTTTCAATTGGGTGAGATTTTCTTTATAGGCTTCAGCAAAAAGATTCAGGGTGACTGGTAGAGGGAAAATAGTACGAAGGAGAGCTGGGAAGCAGCATTTGCTAGCGAAGAAGAATACAAAGAGGAAATTAAGACTCTCCAAAATGGTGGGTTCTATTCAAACTCTTTTTGATGCTCTTGCATGAAAAATTCCTTTTTTTTTTTTTTTTCTAGTTTAAAAAACTAGTTCGCTTCATTTACCCGTTTGATTGCATTCTATTGCATTTATGCCATATATTTTGATGTCTTATCCTGTAGTTTTTCAAAGAAACTTCATGTAGGATTAAATTCTTCTTTATATTAGTTGCAATTGACCAATATGGATGTTGGTTAGAACACTTTGTTTGGTGATCCCAAATAGAGAAAGTGCCTTTGGAGAATGTAGTTACACTAAAAATTTGATTCTAATCATGGGTAGAAGAAGAAAATGACAAGGTGCATGTAACATAGATTAAAGCTTGTGCTATTTATGCTCAGGGGCAATTATGCAGTGTTTCAAATTCTGAGGCACATATGTTACTGGTTTAAAATGAATTCTATTATGAGATTTCATTCTGAGCTTTAATTTGATCAAGTGTGAACATGAAGAAATGAGTTTTGTAGTATAAAGACATCGGATTAATTGATAATAAATTTCATTTTTTTTATTTCAAGGATATGAAATATACGTAAGTGTGCTTAAACTCAAAGTTATCATGGGGTCACATTCTATCTGCTTTAACCATTGAATTACTGTGTGTCAAGTAGAGTAGAGAACTTGGATTAGAGACATTGAGGGCATTACTGTGTATCAGTAAATTGCTGGTTTCAGGAGGCAAGTTGCTAAAATGACTATTGTGTTGTGAAAATGATGATTGTTCATATACAAACAAACAACAACTAGGCCTTAGTCCCAAACTAGTTGGGTCGGCTATATGAATCCTTTGTTTTAAAATCTGCTATGTTCAAAATAATAGTAGTTAATGCAAAGTATAAAATTGTGAAAGATTTATGAATCCATTATCAATTTTCTGCTTGTTGCAACTGCTCGTCTTATATTCTCTTCTGCAAGCAATTTCTTGGGTTTTTTTTTTTTTTTTTTTTTTTTTTTTTCTTTCTGCACGAGGTGTATGCCCGACGTACCCAACCAGGCGACAGCAGGACTAGACGCTTGCTCGTTCTTCTGTTTTAATTATGACCTTCATACCTTTAACCAGTACCGGTCAGAGACCATATAAGGCGCAAACGACGTAGGTCTGATTAATGATGGTATACGAGATTTGGCGTCAACCTCGCAAATTATGCGACATGATACCGCGAAGACAATGCGACTTATATCGGGCCATAATTTGATAATTAGGTGTAATAAACATTAAGTTTCCTAGCTAACGGGGGAGGGCGGGTACATGCAAGTTTACAGCCTCTAGGGTTTGAAATTAGCCAGCGGATATAAGGTGTAGTCGCACTGGTCGACCTCGTGTGAGAGAAGTTGATTTAAGACGCTAGTACTATATGGAAATCTTATTGGTTTTTCATCTGTATATGCTTCAAAATAGATAGTCCGTGGTTAGAATAGCCAAAGTTAAGTAAGAGAAATTGTGGAAAGATTTTATCGATTCCATTATTTCACAATTTTTACTGCCTTGTGTTTGGCAGTACCTGCTCGTCCTTATTTCTCTTCCTGCACTAAGAAATTTTCTTTGGGTTTTTTTTTTTTTTTTTTTCTTTTTTTTTGATTTGTTTCCCCTAAGTTTTTGGGTGTGGGGTGTGTGTTGGTTGTGTGTACATTGAGAGTAAATGTAAATTGCAGATATGTAATTAAAATAGATGCAAAATTCTCATCCATGGTGTTGTTCCTTCATATCTTATATTTATACAACGTTAACTAATGGCTGAATTATTTCCACATTCACGTGGCAGCTAAATAAAGGGAAAACTATATAAAATAAAGTCATTTGTTAATGAATTTTTCACAATCTTTTCCTGAAGACATGGGTAGGATGTGGTCTCATCTAATATTTGTGCTTTAAAACTTGAGATAGTTTTTTTTTTTTTTTTTTTTTTTTTGTTTCCCTAAGTTGTGTGTGTGTGTGTGTGTGTACATGGATAAAATGTAATTGGCATATGTATAAATAGATGCAAATTCTCATCCATGTGTGTTCCTTCATATCTATATTTATACAACAGTAACTAAAATGCATGAATTTATTTCCACATTCACTTGGCAGCTAAATAAAAGGAAAACTATATAAATAAAGTCATTTGTCATGATTTTTCACTCTTTCCTAAGACATGGTAGGATTGGTCTCATCTAAATATTGTGCTTTACTTGAGATAGAACCTGTCAAACGTTTCTTATTCGAGTATCAACAGTAATCAATTCAAGTTTTGCAAAAAGGGGAAAAAAAAGAAGGAAAAGAAAAAATCCAATTGAACCGGCCTAGACAAGGAATTCTTCAAACTGAACTCAATTATTGTTCTTAAGTACAGAATCAAAACCAGCTTGATACTTGTTTTATCTTTGAGTTTCTAAAATTTTTCTATTTCGAGCTGAAGCAAACCAGAAGACCATCAAAGAAAACTGAACCATATATAATGAGTCGGGCAGAATGATTAAACATATTCCGAGTCACCTCTATGATTAAGCATATTTGTTGTTGTTTAAATTTCTCTATTTAATTCACAGATTTTCAGATTTTAGATTCCTACCATCATCTTAATATTGCTTGTTTGTCATTATGTGCAGCATCCAGTTGCCAGGAGCGACTATGACAACGTGATTGGCACCCTGCCATATCTAAAAGTAAATAGAAACGCAAAGTAGAGTTCACTTTTCATGTTTTTGGGATGATTTAATCAGTTCAAATTTTTTTTAATGCTTTTTGTATGCAAAAGACAAGTGCTGTAACTTTTGTATTCTAGAAAACAGTGAAGCTTCTTTGGAAATTCTGTATTTGTTGTTCATGTTATAGAGCATATTCTACTTTTCTTCCTGTAATCTTGCAAGCTCTTGTAGATGGAATTGCTGTTTTCATGTCAATTTGAATCAGGATTTGATCCTTGATGGCTAGTTGGTTCACAAAACTTGGTGGATTGCTTCCTGCCTTCCTAGGGTAAAAGGCTTTGGCCTCAAAGAAGATAGGCAGCAAAACTGATAGCTATATTTCCTATTTGTCATTTTTTCTCTCTCTTTTTTTTTTATTTCCTCTTCTGTCTCCCTGAATAAAAAAAATTGTTCAAACTCACTTTTTAAGGCTCAATTAAGATGAATGAAGTTCGAGTTATTTAAGATTTGAATTATTCAAATTTGTAAATCATTTATTTATAGGTTTGTGAGTCAATTTTGGATAATTCAACTTTTTTTTTACAAAATATATAATATAATTTTATATACATATATTATGCATACATTCATATTTTTCTAGAGTAAGTGATTTTCTTTTTCTTTTGGAATTTTTAAATTTTTTCCCTTCTTTTATTTTTTTTTAATCGGACTATATTTTCTTAAGTTTAAAACTTATTATAGTATTAACATAATTATTATTGAGAGATACTCACATTGAATAATAATAAAATAATTAAATGATTTATAAAATTGATGGTGAATATGGGACAATTCAATTGTTTATTTTTTAATTTGATTATTTTTTGACATATTGCAGTCATTTTTTTTATTTACTGGAGCCAAAAAGGTTGAAGTAATAGCGTGTGAAACATAAGGTAGTCCACTTTTTAATTTATCTGAGTTAGTGAAATATTCTTATAATCGAGATGATTCAAAGCTTGATACTTTTAACTGTTCATAATTTAATAGAGCTCGAGAAATTGGATGATATCCATTTGCAATATACTGTAAACATTTGAAGATGTGATTTAAGCATTTCATATTTTAGACAATTAGAAAATGTATAAGAAAAAAAATAAAAATAAAAGTGTTACAACATCAAAACAAACAAGTTTGGTATTTACGGTCAATACAAGTTTGATATTTATAGTCAATCGATCTGATGTTAGCTATTAATTTTTGAGTTAATTTTTTTTACAAGTTAGTGAATTATCTAAGTTAATTTTTGAGCTTTGATATTTAATAGACTTCCAATAATTAATTAACCAAATTTAAATTAAATTAAATTAATCCATAAACTCTGGTTGAGTTAATTAATTTAATTAAAAGGCTCAAAAAATATAAATGTGGTTTAAACATTATAAAAATAATTAAATTAAATTGGAGGATAAGCAAATATACACATTTTAATTTTATAAATAAATTTGTAAATTATTTTATTTTTAACTTAATTTGGATTATTGACTCAGCTCAGGTAGGTTCATTTACTAATCAACTAAATCTGATCTAGTTAAATTTCGGTTCAACTCGGAAAAACTCCTTTGCAGCCCAAATGATTCTAGAACATTCTAGAATTTCATAATGATTATATAAACGAATTCTGTTTTCGTTTGCTTCTCATCTTTTCTCGGGTAAATATTTCGTCCTTCTCGAAGTTGTGTTTGCGGTAAAATCGATGGAGCAGGAGAGGAAATCAGGAAATGAAAGGACCAAGCCCGAAACAAATGTGACGGTTAACGAGAACAAGGTGTCAGTGACGGCGAATGAGAACATGGCGTCAGTGACCGCGTCTGTAGAGATTGTGGCAGCGAATGCAAATATTGCGGGAGTGAGTATAAACGTTGAGAAAGATTCGTTAAAGGAAGAGAATGGATGCCTCATTGACAACGAGCAGTCCAAGCCATCGGAAACTGTTCAAAAAGTGCTTATATTCTATTCTGATTCTTTTTTTTTTTTCTTTTGACGGTATTATTCTTTTGTTTGGTTCGCAAGAAAATGAAGTAAAATAATCACAGTGCTACGTATAGTACAACATCAACTAGCTTTTGACTAATATACTTATTTATTTATTGTCTTTTGTTCATTCGTTTTTTATTATTTTTTGTAGTCATTCTCTTTATTTAATTCATTTTTTTGGTGGAATGTAATGTAGCCTTGACACCGTGCCATTTTCCAAAAATGAATAAATAATCATAATTAGCAAAAAAATCAATCGATCTATTTGAACTCCAAGAAATAATGGTCGTATTGTATTTTCTTTGCTGTGATTTTCTTGTATTTTCGTAGTGCTACGTTTTCTCGTCATCCAAACAGTCAAATATTAGCGTTACGTCTTGTACCTTTTTTTTTTTTTAAAGGACGTCTTGTACGTGTTCGATTTTACGTCTTAAAATAAGTTGCCTTAATTATGAGTTTATTAGCGTAATTATTTTTTCGTTATCCGCTTAGATCTACATGTCGAAATTACGAGATATTATTTAAGACCTCTGTTAGTATTGGATTTTAATTAATTTGCATTAATATCTTAATTTTATCCCAAAGATTGGCGGTTGCTCGATGATCGTATTTTGAACTTATTTTTGCCTAAATTTAATTGTTTGGTTGCCAATTTAGCAGTCTGGTGCAAATGATAATGCGTTTCCTAATCCGCCTGAGCAATTGCTTCTGCTGGATGGTCGATTGAGAGACCTCCCGACATTTTTGACCACATGCAGAAGGAGGCAATCTAAAGGTAGTTAACTCAACAGACTGAAACTAATTCACATTTTCATAAACCCAGAGTTGAGGAGGAGATAAGAGCTTGTTTGGTAGAAATGAATTTTATGAAGTTTATTGATTCATTTACAGATCCACGTTTTCGTGTTTGCTGAAAATGAAAAATCATTTAGAACTTTACATTTTTAAACTCAAGCTATTAAAGTTAATGATGATGTATTCCAAACACTATGTGACACCGCTGTTGCTTCAGGAACAGATGACATGCCAGGTTCTAAAATTCCCACCTCTATTCTAAGGATCGGAAGCTGGGAGGTATTTCTTTGTTATATGTTTATATGTTTGAATTTCTTGTTTGTTTCTATCCATTTTTTGATGTTCTCATATTGAGTTTGTGTGGTTATGGTGTTGATAAATTAAGTTGTTGGATCATATGCATTGACAGTATATCTCAACGAATGAAAATGGGTTGGCTGCGATTTTTTGGTTTGGAGAGCAGATGCTGGTTTGGGAAGTAATTGCAGGCGGTAAAAAGAATCACATATTAATTCAGTGGTGTGATATTGTGGCTCTCAAGGCTAGCTGTCCTGATAATGAACCTGGAACACTTACTATTGTGGTAGTGACATGAGTTCAACTCTCTTTCTATATGCATGTGAATCTGTGGTTATATGCAATGACACGACGTTTTTCTTCTGTAATGCAGCTGGCTAGACAGCCTACTTTCATTAGCACAAAGTATCCAAAACCACAACACAGAGAGTGCAACATATGGGAAGTGACACCAGATTGTACACACGGACAGGCAAGCATACACAGGTGTGATTAATTTCCCATCCTGTTACTGATGGAGCTTTTGTCTGGTTGAACCTGTTATTGCTATCTTTTGGATCCTTACTTTAAAATTTCCAAGTTTCTAATTTCCACAGCCTTTTTCTTGTGCTATTATGCTTGTTTTTAACTGTGAATAAACTTTTGCTACTATGATTACTTCACCACTTACATTGTTTCATTCACTATGCTGTTTGGTCTATCCTTTTCATTTGAGAAAAACCTTTTAATATAGTTGGTTCTAAAATATATCATCAATGATTTTCAGTTTCCTTTCAAGATTCACTCCTTTTCACTATTTACTTGAGAAGATACAGCTATTAGTTAGCGATATAAAATTCCTCTATTATGGTTCTGCAGGACACATTTTCTGCAATTTCCACAGGGGATCTTAAAAGCACAGTTTGAAAAACTCATCCAGTGTGACATGCGTCTGAGGCTTTTAAGTCAACAGCCAGAGATCGTTTTGGATTCACCATATTTTGAGCACCATTCATCTGTTTCTGAGGATCAAGATGAAGCAAAAGGTCAAGATATTGATCAAGTTATTTCTGATTTTCAAGATCTAGCATCACCATCTGCTGGTCACTCACCTACCCTAGAGATTGGAAAGGGGGATATTGCTGGTGAAACATCAGAGCACATGTCCCAAGAAGCTCCTCCCAGCTCAGGCAGTGCTATATCTATTTTAGCCATTGGGTTACTCGTCAAGTAGTTCTTCAACGAATTTTAAAATTCATTATATAAGGATGTAAGTAAGCTTGTTTGTTATAAATGAATTTTAAAATTATATGGAATTCATTCACAAGTCCTCTATTTCAAGTTCGTTGAAAATGAAAAAGCATTTTGGATTTTGCATTTTTAAATTCTAATCTTATTAATAAGTAAATTCAATGAAGCTAAGAACATGTATTCAAAATGAAAATTCTTTTACAGATGAATTTGATTAATGAAATTTGTTTGCAAATAAAAATGAATTCCGTATGGTCTTATTTCTGACACTCTGAAACAGCTACTGCTTCAGGCACCAAAACTGCTTCAGACACTGCTGACAAGCCCAAGGTTTTTCAAGTTTCTGCCTCTATTCTAAGGATTGGAAGCTGGGAGGTATTTCTTTGTTACATGTTTATATGTTTGAATTTCATGTTTGTGTGTGTCCATTAATTTGATATTCTCATATTTAGTTTGTATGGTTATGGTGTTGATACAATAAGTTGTTGGATCATTTTCATTGGCAGTATAATTCAAGGAATGAAGGGGAGTTGGTTGTAAAGTGTTACTTTGGAAAGAAGAGGCTTATTTGGGAAGTACTTGAAGGCAGTACAAAGAGTAAGATAGAAATCAATTGGTGTGATATTATCGCTCTCAAGGCTAGCTGTCCTGATAATGAACCTGGAACACTGACTATTGTGGTAATGACATTAGTTCAATTCTCTTTGTATTTGCATGTGAATCTATGTTTATACACAGCGATGCCATGTTTTTTCTTCTTTAATGCAGCTGGGTAGACAGCCTTCTTTCTTTAGCTCAAGGGATCCAGATCACCGTAGATGGTACTCAACAAGAGATTTTACAAATGGACAGGCAAGCATACACAGGTATGTTTAATTTTTCCACCCTGTTACTGATGGAGCATTTGTCCGGTTGAACCTGTTATATTACTTCCCATATAAAAATCTACTATTATGGTTCTGCAGGCAACATTTTCTGCAATTTCAACAGGGGCTCTTAAATGAATTTCAAAAGCTCATCCAGTGTGACATGCATCTGAAACATTTAAGTCAACAACCAGGGATGATTCTGGATTCACCATATTTTGAAAACCAGTCATTTGTTTCTGAGAATCAAATTCAGTATACTATTCAATCTGTTTCTGATTTTCAAGATCAAGCATCACCATCTGCTTCTCAATCGTGTTCCGTAAAGATTGGAAAGGGTGATGTTGCTGGTAAAACTTTAGTCATTAAAGTACATTTCGAAGAAGCTCCTCCCAGCTCAGGTATGAAAGCTTTCTGTAATTTGTTTTAAGTCGTTGGGTTGCTCCAAGCCCAGTAGCTTTCTGTTTCTGTAATTTCTTTGTGATTTAATTTCGTGGCTTAGCAAGGTTCTGAGGAATCACTTTTATGATTAAGCATGTTTTAGATTCATTTTTTTTTTCGTAGATTTTTTCTATGCTTGAATATAAAAATTGATTATCTTAATACTCCTTGTTTGTTTGTTATTATCAACAGGATCCAATTAGCTGGAGTGACTATGACAATGATGTGATCGGCGATCTGCCATTTCTGAAAGTAAATAAAGAGGCAAAGTAGAGATCTTTTGCATTTTCATTTTTGTTTTCAAGGAAGACTCCTCAGTTGGAAGTTTTTTCTAATGCTTTTTGCATGCAAAAGACAAGTGCTATGGTACTCTTTAATTTTGCTTCTAATCCAGAATCCTAGTCAAATTTGGCTTAAATTTCTACTTTGTTACTTGAGCATGTCCCTCTTCTTCAATGCTTTGCATTGTTTAGTTTACCATCTTAATCCATATCTGAGAATTCAAATCATATATTCTCTATTCTCTGCCTTATATTTATTTATTACTTTTTGAATAATATTAGTAAGGGTATTATTATAACAATTTTGCATTATTGTAATAAATGCATTAAACAAAATCAATCAATCAATATATATATGACTTAATTTGCAATATACATGTCAAATATATATATTTCCTCAATCAAGTCCTGAAAACATTCCTAAATTAGAGCAAGTAGATGTTCTCTCTCCTTATTTGAATCTTTGTTTTCTTTGAAGTATCTAAGTATGCTTTGTTGAGCTGTCACTTAATTGGAAATGAACGAAAATTTGACAGGAAAATAGATTAATGGTCCACGTGTCATTTTTCTCTAACATGGAAGGAAAATTTGAGAAAAATAATAAAAATTATTAGATTGCCCTGATTTATGATACTTATTTTGAAAAGAAGTCAAGGTTAAACTCGTATTTACTATTTATAAAATCATTTTCCTTTCTTGTTTTTCTCTCCTATTTCCAAAAATTAAGAAGAAATATATGACGGTGTCATATTGTAATTTTTCCTCTTTATTCCTTCAAATTTTTATTTTTTAAATAGTTATCTAAATATTGCGCTAGTTTTTTGAAGAGAATTTTATTCTTTAAATGTATGTTTTTATAAGCAATAATTGTTCTTACTTTATCTTCTAATTAATTATGCATGTATTAGCATTTTTGGTACTTAAGGGTTTGCCTAATCAGAAAAAGAAGGGAAAATGAATAGAAGAAAGAGAAGGAAGAATAATCAAGAAGAAGAAGAAATGAGTTACCTTCAGGAGATCAAAGTATAAAAAATAAAATTTAGGTGTCATAAGATAAATTTTTAAGTCAAGGGAGCATAAGGCATTTGACTTTACCCTTGAACTTTGTATTTTAATTTTAATCCCACGGTGTCTTTGATTTTTATTCTTACTCATTAAATATTTTAATTCATAAAATTATATTTATTAAATACTTTAATTTGTAAAATCATTTTATTATATATTTTAATTTATAAAATTTTAATTAATTAAATATCTAATTAAATAATTGAAAAGTATAAAATTTTTGTCCCGAAAAGTTATGCTATTACTTATCAAATTATTATTTTACACATAAAAGTAAGAAACCTTTATTGTTACTATGAAAAGGTATACAAATGCAAGTTATTGAAATTTACAGAGTTGAAATATTTACCAGGTGATTTACAATGACGTGCAAATATATGTATACCACACATTTCGCCAAATATATAATTTCACCTTGACAGGTGGTTGGTTGAGTTATGTATTTGTCATGCATTTTAACATGCTAAACCCATGCACATGCTAATCTTAACATCCATTTCACGATTCTACGTGTCAACTTAAGTAACCACACTTGTCAAGCAATCGTGGGATCGTCCGGCACGTGTCGCACCGCACCCACCTGCGCCGTCATTTTAAAGAATCAATAGGCCCTACATTTTATCCACTAACTCTTACTTGTCGGCCGTCACGTGATCTTTATACCTCACAACTAAAAGACAAAACCGCCCCTTTCCCGGTAGCCTAAACATGACTCGTTCAAGCCACACCGTTTTCGTAATTTTGAGCCCTGCAGTCAAAATGGCACGTGCGAGCCCATAATGAACGCGGGATTTTGCCTATGCACGGCGTGAAAACGCACCGTTAAGATCTCTCTACCCGTCATTTCTAGGGTTTTCACACAATCGACTACCTGTCATCCGATATTTTCTCGACCCCCCCCCCCCTTGCACTTAGTTTTAGGACCCGTAACCATAAAGGTGTTTCTACTCTTTTCTCCTTGCAATTCCTGTTAACTTTTTTCCTGAAACTAAGAAGTTAATTCTACAGGATACTGATTTCCAGAAGACAATCTACCCTTCTAGATTAAGTTCAATGTCTCTACATCCAAGCTCTTCATCCAAAGTTGTGGATAGCACATCATCAGCAGAAGCATCATATATTAAAGGACGGTCAGCAAAGCTGGAGCTGAGTGATGGAAGCAGCCTGTATGCAAAGTTGGTGGTAATAACTTGTATGCTATAGGTTATATACACCTTCAAAAGAAGAATAATACAAATGAAATAGTGTAGAATTTCTATTATGGGTGATGGCTCCTAGAAAATGTTTGTTGCTGATAATGTAAACAGGTGGGAGCTGATGGGGGCAAGTCACATGTTAGACAGTTAGCTGGATTTAAAACAACTGGATGGAACTACTCACAGAATGCTATCATCTGCACTGTAGAACATTCTGTGGATAATCAGTGTGCATGGCAGCGGTTTCTACCATCAGGTCCAATTGCGCTTTTGCCTATAGGGGATAAGTTTAGCAACATCGTTTGGACTATGGACCCAAAGGAATCATCAGACTATAAATCAATGGATGAGGATGATTTTGTGAAAGCTGTAAATCATGCTTTAGATTATGGATATGGTCCTCATCCAAAGTCGAGTTTATTGGATGGTATGGACATGTTCTCATGGCTCAGAGGAAATTCAGTAATATCAGCTAATGAATCTTTTGAAGTCCCACCAAGAGTGCTCAAGTTAGCTTCTGCTAGGATGGCATTTCCATTGTCCTTAATGCACGCCAATGACTATGTGTCAAAGCGAGTTGTTCTTATTGGTGACGCGGCACACACAGTTCATCCTTTAGCTGGGCAAGGAGTCAACTTGGGCTTTGGAGATGCGTTTTCCCTTTCAAGAATCATCACTGAGGGTATCGCTGTAGGCACAGACATTGGAGAGGTACGCCCTATTCTGTATTTTCTTAATTACGATTGGCATGGATAATTGACTGGAATAACTGCTTGTATTCTTCAACGATACTATTGCTCAAATATCCACAAAGCAAAGTTTCACAGAACTGTTCATATATGCAAAATCTGCTGAACTTCTTCCTAAGCTTTGGTTCTTTTGATGCAAGCACAAGTAGTTGAAGTGCTCAGACATTTGATGGATTTCTTTTTGCCAGGTATCACTGTTGAAAAAATACGAAGCAGAGAGGAAACCCACAAATGTGACCATGATGGCTATTTTGGATGGATTCCAGAAAGCATACTCCGTCGATTTTGGACCTCTAAATATATTACGTGCTGCTGCATTTCACGGGGCACACCACATTTCACCGCTGAAGAAGAGTATAATTTCTTATGCTTCAGGGGAACAGAGGTTGCCACTTTTTTCTTGAGACCAATGTTGATTTCGTGAATTTCTATGTTTCCATACCGTAATAAAACGAAACTTTTCTCCACAGTTTGTACAGTGGTAACTGGTAACTATAATGCCCAGAAAGATTAAAATACCATTTCGCTGATCATTCTATCTACTATTCTAGTTCTAGTTAGATTTAAGGACTTATTTTAACTAATACAAGTGATTATTATCTAAATTTAATCGACAGAATATTCAACAAGTCCATGTTTGTAAATAAAAAGTTAATTGGATTTTTTTATTTTCGCTGATGGAAAATTTTCTCTAGAACTTCAAAAGGAGCACAAATTAATAGCTATTACTCAAATATTAGCTGTTATTTTTGATAAGAAAATTAGTCATAGATGCTATTACATGATACAAGATTATTTAAGCTATTCAATTTAGAAAGATACGTGTAGTTGCATTTTCACGTATAAAATTAAATGAATCTGAATGTTCCTTTTTCTTTTTTTTTTTTTTTACTCAAGTAATAGATAGTGGATATACAACAAAAGATCTTCATGGTGCTTTCGTATACAAATCTATGCACAATTGGGGGATCAGTATAGGTTATGATAAAACGATCTCTCACAGCTACAAAAATGTATCTCTGATTATGCGTGCTGCTACACGAGATGAAAGGCGTGAGAGAACTTCAGGCAGCACTCTGGCTGAGATGCTTGGCAAAACTGGAAGAAGCTCTTGTATAACCCGAGCAACATTTACATCCTGTAGATGCCCAAAATATATATACAGGATTATTAAACAGCAATCACAATGCTTGAGATCAAACTTGTTCCAGAAAAAAGAAAAGACAATAATACAGTAACTTTCTTTCCTTTTTTTTTTTTTTTTTTTTTTTTTTTTACTCCAGGTAATAGATAAGTGGGATATCCAACAAAAGATCTTCATGGGTGCTCATTTCGTATACAAATCTATGCACAATTTGGGGGGATCAGTATACGGTTTATGATAAAACGATTCATCAACAGCTACAAAAAAATTGGTAATCTCCTGATTATGGCGTGCTGCTACAGCGAGATGAAAGGCGTGAGAAGAACTTCTCAGGAGCACTCTGGCCTAGAGGATGCTTGGCAAAACCTGGAAGAAGCTGCTTGTTATAAACCCGAGCAACATTTACATCCTGTAGCTGCCCAAAATATATATATACAGGATTATGAAAACAGCAAATCACAAGATGCTTGAGATCAAACTTGTTTTCACGAAAAAAAGAAAAGACCCAATAATACAGTAAAGCTTTTCTTTCCTTTTTTTTTTTTTTTTTTTTTTTTTGGGGGGGGGGTGGGGGGGGGGGGGGGGGGTGGCTAATTAAGCCTTAAGTTTGGAAGGTTTAAACATTAAACCTCAAGGTCCAAGGCCAGCAATAAGGGGGGGTGGCTAATTAAGCCTTAAGTTGGAGGTTTAAACATAAAACCTCAAGGTCAAGGCCAGCATAATTTCAATTTTACTTGTTAAAGCGCAAATATAAAAGTACCTGACTTGATGCCTGTGATAATGAACTTCCTGCAGTTAAGAACTCAAGTATTTTCTGAACATTATTCAAGATAACTTTATCCTCTTCAGTTATTGTCGGCAGAAGTCCTGCAGGCCTAAAGGGTCCGGGTACCATGCTGAAAACTGGAGGAGCATTTCGTACTCCAAGGATTGACAATATTTGTACCAGCTGTTCCCTTGTAACAGCATCAATACCCTTTACAATCTGTGCCAGAAAATAAAGGTTCAGCATTTAGCCAGCCCAATAAATGACTAACCTGAGAGCATATGAAAGTATAGGAGTAAATGGCACTAATCAAGGTACCTCATCTAGAAGAAATTCTCGGAAAAAGTTCCCCTTCTCAGAAAGCAGAAACGATAAGGCCGCCCTAGTTTGAATTGGCTGTGTTGATTGAGATGCCATTAGTGGAAATCCAGGGACCATATTACCTGTTTGACGTTGCAGAATGCCAAGCTCAGCCATGTTCCCATTCAAACTTTCTCCTCCACCACTTTTGGCTGCAGTGATGAAAGTCTCGAAGGCTTGCATCACATCAATGAATCTTTCAGCGTCAAAAACACCAGTTTTTCCATAAATTGTATATCGCAAAGCATTCCTTAGACGAGGAGATTCATCAGTGAGGAGCCTCTGGCAATAGAAACGTAGAAATGGAACCATCAATTAGACCAACTTGAAGAAACAATGAGGATCAGTATATTCTAGCGATTAACAGCAAACAGAGTTTCAGTTACAAGGTCCAGTCAATGCACCACACAAGTCTAGTCATGCCTACGCAGAGTCAGTCATGTCAAAACAGTGCAATTCGAAGTGTCAATCATGATTTGCTGCAGAAAGAACTTGAAAATTTTCCGAAATTTCCTAGATTATCATCAAAATGATATTTAAAACTAATATCCCCACACCTATCCATGGGTACTTCAGAAAATCAGCTGAAGTACATTTAACTTCAGCAGCTACAGAGCTTGAGCAGCATGAACTCACAAGTATTTTTCTGCAATGTGAATGCAGAGCACATTTTACCTGCTTCAGAAGTTCACAACATGGTTCTATTCCCTAGTTGACTTTAGCATCTTGAAGAAAAAACTCAGTTTTAACTATATTGAATAAATAATACAAGCTCATAGCTCTTGTCAGAATATGATGGGGACATTCAGAACTAGTCAATTACTAATCAAAATAATAAGGGTAAGAGCACTGGAGAAAAAGATATAATTTACTGCCATAAAACTCATACCTGAGCAATGTAGGGGTAGGCCTCATCTACGATAGCAAACTCAGGATTCCCCACTAAAGCTATACCCTCCAGCACCCCTATTGCCCTAATTATGAGAGCAAAATAGGGGGGGATCCTAAATGGATAATCAAATGTTATTTGAGCTAGATCTGATGCTAGCTCCTGAAAGTTTATATTTTTTGCTCCTCCACCCTCAAGTGCTTGATCAAAAACCTTAGCCAAGACTGGCAAGATAGGTTCCAAATTAACTCCCTCAGGAATGAAATCAAGTTTAACAAAATCTTTGACAATAGCAGAATAATCCCGATGTATGAGATGGGCAATAGCTTCAATCATTCCATATTTCTGATCATCTGTTAATTTTGTGACTAGACCTGTCACAACAAAAAATTCTTTCAGAGTTCACATGTATATGGGTCTTCATAGCTTAAAGAGAAAAAATAATTGAACATAGAATTTGGTTAAAAATTCAATCCAGTAGAATGCCAAGAAGTTATGGTTATGGTGCAATTTTGATACTCGTATCAATAATGCGTTAATAAAACATCATAATGCCGCATTCCTTCCAAAAGTTGCAAAATGAACAGCAACAGTATATTATCTTGCACAATTGACCTAAATTCATGAGTCTCTGCTTGCACTACTTTTAGGAAACATATCATTCTTATCTTTCACATATTCGCAAAAGTAGTTCCAGAAAAAGAAAGCCTACAAGTGTCATTTGATTGTGACTGAGATCTGAATTTTGATTTTTCCTCTCATTAAATGAAAGGAAGACCCTAATTTGCAATATGAACCAGCAAGCATTTAATAATTCTGATATCATAAAACAGCTCTTAATATAATCTATAACTGGATACCAACATTAAGCAGAAATCAGAGAGCTACATTGATAAGAAAAAATAAGCAAAAACACAAAAAAGATAGGCCAGAAGCTAAAAGGGGAGAGTACTTTCTTGATGTTCTTATCATCATGCAGAATTTTGATAAAAGCAATTAAGAATACATGAGATAGGTTAACTCCAAGAAGGATATGTCTTCATTGTCTTTCACAATTCAGTATCATAAAGTTGATAGACAAAAGCATATAGGTAGAAAGCGAATTCAAAGAGGAAAGGCATATAAATAATCTTAGAATAGAAAGCGAATTTGAAGAAAATTCAAACAAGATTATGCATCTTATGCCGCTAACCATGCTGAAAGATGATCTTTCACCATATACACTTATGAAGTAGATTGTTACCAAAGTCAAGAATGGCTAGCTTCCCATCTGGAGTGCGAATCATATTCCCAGGATGAGGGTCCGCATGAAAAAATCCAGTATCAAGTAACTGTAATCGAAATCAATTGCAAAATTAGATGACATAGTCATTAGTTAGAACAGACCAAATGAATATAACACTGCCTGCATCTATTAGTTGAAAATATATGTGCAAAACAATTTAAAAGTTAAAAAATACAGCATTGAAGTCCATATAAATCTTGAGCTCTTTTCTTTTTTTAATCTTCAAACATAATGCACAAGATATGTTCATTCACAGTGCATTTAGATATTACAGTTAACTGATGTTAGAGGGCATAATTGAACTATTTTCCTCTCAATTATGAAATTTTAATAGATTATTCCTTATGATCCATTAGTTCTGTTAACAAGAATCCAGAGCAAAGACCAAAAAATGAGTTTAACTATTCGACAAAAAATTTCCGCTTTCATACTAATTGACAAATAAAAATGTGGACATTATTCTACCTACCATGCTAACGGACAATGAGATGAAACATGCACAGGAATCTAGCAGTAAATATCTTCTTTCACGTGGAGGAATATTATATATGACCTAGAGAATGGCCGAAAATTTGTTTCTTGTAGGGAAAAGCCATACAAGAGCATTAATGGAGTATATTACCTGCTTTAAATAGCATATCACTCCCACATTGACAAGTTCTCCAACATCACTTTCGGTACTTTGTGAGAGCTTTTCTCCTTCAATCCATTGCGTAGTAAGAACTTTTCTTGAAGTATACTTTTCATAGGTTTTCGGTACAACAACCTGGAACAGTAATATTTTATATGCTATTCAGTGATACAACTGGCACAATGAGAAATTTATATACAAAATTCCAACAAAAAAGGCCTTATTTAGATGGGGTTGTGCACATAATTAACATAAATCTACAAATCCAAACATGCAAAACGGTTTAAAAAACGAAAAGAACTGACAATCTTCCCCAGTTACACCATCACCATGTGGTAAACAGCTTTTACAGCATCTGCAGATGAATGGACTATGACCAAAGAGCAATGATATGCTTCAAAGCTTAGCCGTAGTGAGACGCATCAACAAATATCAGGTGTGCAAACATACATTAAAGTCATAACTGGTGGCATTCAGTACAGTAGCAAAAGAGAATTTATTTCAAGTTTCTCTAAAACCCAGCTATTGCAACAGTTCAAGGAAGCATCACCTTTCAATTTAGCAAATGTCTAGATCCAACATTTCTTTCCATTATATATCAAGGCCATGTTAAACCATAAGTTGCACCTACTCTTTCAAGTAACTAGTTTCAGTTTTTTTGCCTCATATTGCAGAATGTTATTGCACAACCTTATTTACAACAATAATGTTGGGAAATCAATACCCTTCCTTTATTTTCTCTTTGCCGTACAAGTAATTAGGTAACCCATGCAAACCTGTCGTGTAACATATGTTTCAATTGCAAATGGAAATTTTAACAAAAAGAAGAAAAATTAACATTTTATAGGGCTTCAGCGAGCTGTCTAAGATTTTTGCTACAATTTCTATTAAAAATAAAAGGGCACAACTATAGAAACTAAACGGAACACAATTAATCAGATTATAGGACGTAAAAGAAGATATAGTTGGAAGTCATCAGACTCACCTGTGGAAGGTCTTTTCTCATCATTTCAGCAAATCGATTTCCATTTTCACCTTCATTAACATAATCTAGTTCCTCAAAAAAGCGAGCTGCCCATTCATCAACCAATCCAACAACATCTATAGATATCTGGAAATAAAATAAAAAGGACACAAAAAAAAAAGAGAAGGGAGGGTGTTGGTGTCATTTCCAGTGTAGACGATGAATGACCTCAAAAAAAATGAAATGTGAGATACTCAGGAAGAAACACTACCTGAGGAAACTTACGGAGAACCAAACCCAAGTTCCGTATAATGTACAGATCAATTGTCACTGTTTCAAGAACGAAAGGCCTCTGTACTTTGACAGCCACTATGTCCCCATTCTCTTTTAGTCGACCCTTATATACCTGTCCAAGAGATGCTGCCAAAGAAATGCCAGAACAAGAATAATACTGAATAGTTACTTAATTTCAGAACCTAGCAAGAAAGGCTAGTTTTCATTCTTCCCAAAACTGAGAATACTGAGACTACCTGCAGCAATTGGCGAAGAAGAAAGCTCAGAATAGATATTTTGCCATGGCTGGCCAAGCTCCTCATTGATAAGAGCCATTGCTATATCATCTGGAAATGAAGGAACCTTCACACATCATCAAACAGAAAAATCAGACATAATACGGAGTGACCAAAATTCTACAGTATGCTGCAATAATTACCATGAGCATTTATACAAACTGACATGCAAACATTTCAGAGTGGTTCTTTTCTTTTTACACCAAAATTAAGTTTAAAAACATGTAAAGCAACTTGTCAGACTGATGCATGGCATTTTTAGAAAGAAAATTTTAAATAAAAGGATGGCATGTCACTCAGGAATTGCTCCATTATATGCAGAGGCATTTATCGATATACACAATGAAGTGAAACAAAACTAGAAAGTCCTTGGACAAATGCAGCAACAGTACATGATAAAGGTGTTAGAAAGATGAGGACGGGAAAAGTCAGGTAATGAGGAAGGATAGAGTAGAATATGCAATTTCTGAATTGTTACAGCCAATTACGACCAGCTTAATTTGATGAAGTAGCATCAACTGTAACACCTTTCATAATATGTGAAGTAACTGGAAGCATATGATGATGGCTCACATATGCGATGTAACTGGAAGCATATGGTGGCAGAGCACATAAATTGAGATCCCAAAACAAATACTGACAAGGTCCCAGAGGCTCTTTATTATGAACCACATAACTTCAGCAACAATCAATAAGAGAAAATCATTGCTTAATCTTTTAATGAAGGATGCTATATTTTACCTCTTTCATTATTACTTTATAGCTTCCATAGAGTATCATTTTAAGGTAAACATTTAAAACATCCTTGAGAATTTATTAAATTGTACACAATGAACATCTACGCACCATTATATGATAGAATTTCTCATGCATTCATCATTATGTTTTGCTGAATATTACAATTATAGCATTGTTAGGTTCGCTTTTCATTTTAAAATATTAGTAGTTAAGAGCAGCACAGGCAAAAGAAGCTTATTTAAATGCAAACATTAAAATGAGGGAAAGGAAAAGGAAATAAACAAAGAAATGCACTGAGTTTACCTTATCGCAGAGCTTTTGAAGCTCAGTCATTGCAGCAGGTGACAGTATATCTGGACGAATGCTCAATGCTTGACCAAGTTTTATATATGCTGGGCCCAAAGAGGTCACAATTTCCCTTAATTCAATGGCTCTAGCAACTTCATTCTGAATATGAAAATAGAAAAAGTAAATTATAAAGAAAATGAGTAAATTTCAAATAATAAACCAGCACAGGACAAACTGAAAATAAATTTATCATGATCGACTGAAAAATTGCAATTACACAATCAATCTTTAGATATCAAGTTCTCTGTTTGCATAGAGCAACTCCAGATAGAAGGCTCCTCGAGTTCTAAAAGATGGAACATTGGTCATACAATTAGTGCTATTCAAAATAAAACACAACCACATTTTTCTGCAACAGCAATTCAACCCAACGTATTTGGATAATATAACTCATGCTTCCTGACACAGTTAACATTCCCTAGCCTCCAATGCGAGCTCTCAATAAAGAATTTAATTAGAAAAGACTATGGCAGTAATCAAATGGAAGACGAGGTTATTGAGTTAAGGTTAAGTTCAGATAGGAGTCTCTCAATTCAATTTAACACAGTTTCAAGTACCGAATCTATTACCAATGCTCAAAAAACAGCACATTCTAGATTAGGTGTCCCAAGAATCAAAAGTCTAACACTCTTAGATCATGAACGAGCAGTGAACATCAGTTTCATGAGCCTTTTCTTTTACCATTGTGTCCCATCAAAGAATATGTGAATGCCAGATTTCTCTGCCATTTCTATAGTTGGACCAAATGACACCAACGCCATATGTCGAGAAAATGAAGTAACACACATGCAGATTATGAATTAGTGCCTGACTAAGCAGGCTTGTCACATGCATTTGCACAAACACGGGAGGGAAAGAAATGCAGCTTTCCATAAACTGAAGAGAAAAGAAAAGGGAAAAATCAGAAGCAAGCTATGAATGATTCACCTCTTTAACCTTCTTGTTTATAACATCCAAAGCAAGACGAGAGAGAAAACCCCCAGCAACAGAGAGTAACTGGACAATTCTGGTTGCAACAGCCCGTGGCCTTTTACCCCAATAAGCAGAAATGCTAGCAGGATCATATACCAGTGGTAAGAACTCACTGCTCTCATCTAGCTACAAAAATACAATAAAACAGCTGAAATCAGTTAACTACCCACAAAATCACAAATTTGCATCTAAAATTAGCAATGATGAGTAAGGAGAAGAGGCACATAAAGCTAAAGGTGTCAAAAGACTGAAAGCATTAACAAAGGAGAACAAAGAATATCGTGAAAAAGGGATCCTCCATCCATAGCAAACCATCTTTAGTCAGCTTCAACGGAAATATTTCACCTTCCAAGTTCAACAAAGAGCATGTTTCTTAACCCATTTAATTGAATTACCATTGCATTATCCATCGAACAGCCAAAATTCCATCACAGAATTACAGATTATTCATGCCAAAATCATTAGACAATCTACATTTACAAGAACATGAAACCCGGGAACTTGAACCTGACCTTTGTCTCTGAGAGTTTCTAAAACAGATCACGTCCCTGTGTTTAGAGGTGGCCAAAGTACAGAAGCCACAAATTCCAAAACCATTTGTAGTTTCTATAATTCTAACACGTACTAATTGCTCTTATGCTATCAAACAATTTGTTTAAACGCGCAGAAAATGAATTCAAACATTCCATTTACCAATAAAATAGTATTACCTCAACTAGTCTAAGCTGAACATTGTCATCGGCAAACTGAGCATCTCTTAAATTTTGGCCTCGAAGTCCTCTCATGAGTATAGCCAACTGTTCATTTTCTTCCATTTGCGCCCTCACTCTTTTGATCTCCTGCGAAACTTCTCCGATCCTCTGCCAATTCCGAAAATCAAGTAATCATTAACTCCACAAAATATTAAGAATTAATAAGAATTATAAAATTAACGGTGATCATAATAATAACAACGATAAAAATCGGAATGGAATAAAAATTATAATAAAAATAACATAAACTCGTTTCTTATCTCTTCACCTTCTCAGCAACCAAGCAAAGATTTGATATAAACTAAACATTTATCAGTCAAACTTACAGTGGAAGCTCCGTTGACAGGTTTCAATGGCGACGACCTCGAAGAAACTCCATTAACAGTTTTAGAAGAAGTGGATCTCGATGAGCCATTGAGATTTGTAGATGAAGAGGATTTATCAGGTCCAGTTTGAGCAGGTTTCGGCTCAGTGGCGACGGCGTAAACCTGGCTATTTCGTTTCCTAACCGTAACTCTAGTCGGTGATGCATAGCGCGTAGGTACGGTGAACTTGCGGAGATCGATTCCGCCGTAGACGAGCTGCGGGGCCGCGTCCATAGCGGAACCGGACACGATAGTATACACCGCCGGTATGAAGAGAGAGTGAGAGAGCTTCGAAATAGGAGGTAGACAAGGAAAAGAGAGGTGTTCTGTGTAACTGGTTTAGTTATGGAAGATGGTTGTGGCCGTTGGGGGAACACGTGGCGATATTTGGAGCGGAGGGGCAGTGGTAGTGTCTGCTCCACTTTGATTGATTTGTCGTCTACTGTGAGCTCTAGCAAGTTTGCCAAAAATTGTTCGCTAAAATGTCTGTGTTGATTGTTTGCGCGAAAATTGTGGAGCGCTCTTTACCTCATAAAAAAAGGAAATGAAAAATTAACGCCTGCCGTTCAAAATAAGTAAACGACACCGTGTAGAATTTTTCCTTTTCGTCTGAACGACAGAAATCGGAAATGAATACTAGGGTTCGTATTGTCGGGACGACAAAACGTGGAGAATACACTAATCTTTGGAAGCCTCTTATTTCGGCAAAATAATTTACATATATTTTGAAACTCATAAGGTTAGTGAATAAAAAATACTTTCTTCATAAAAAAGAAAAAAAATAATTTTGAAGGAAAATAAGTTCTCTTTTCTATAAAAAAATAGAACATTTATTAATTTATTGATCATCCTTAATAATCATTGTGGATTATGAGCTATTAATCGTTGTCACAATTTGTCATTTTATGCATTATTTTTATATTTGACAATAAAATTTTAAGATGTAAAATTTTTATAATTTTAAATACTTTTTAATATCGCGATCAAATAATAAAAGTTGAGTTGTTTGAAAATAGTTTTAATTTGAGATTTTAGTGTATTGTGTATATTTAATTGATTTATTCAGAACAACATTTTTAATTGTGTGATTATTCAATTTTGCAAAAAGCAAATGAACCCCAATACTCAAAAAAAAAAAAAAATGAAGGAAGGGTATTTATTTTTACCAATGTATTTACTTACAAAAAAATTCGCATTTAAATATTGATTATTCAAATTTGATCACTGAATATTCGAAATAAAGCCGATCAGTCATTTTTTTGGAAATAAATGGTGATTCAAAATATGCAGGAGTTTTAAATCACTTATCGTTTCAAATAATATAAACGACAGCTTGTTCCACCTTGCTTTTCGCATGAACGACGGATGTTATGGCGTCCTGTTGTTTAGAAAGACGGCTTGAAAGTAAATGGACGTTTAAACGCATGGGAGCCCAAGCCCGACTGATATTATAGGTGGACCATTTGGGCTCGGCAGGACTATTTATAGAATCAAGAGCCCAAAAAGAGACAAAATTTAGAACTTAGATTATGTAAAATTTGTATTCGCATTTTTTTTTTCTCCCAAACGGTTCATTTGCTTATAGTTTGAATAATTTTTTATTTTTTCTCTTAATACTTTAGATCGCCATTGAAGAAAATACTCGTCTATACCTACTAAATAAAATGACCCATACATAAAATCAATAGAGATTATTCAAAAGTTAATTCTAGTTGAAATAAAAAATTTCAAAAAAAATTAAAGGATATCTACCCTCTTTATTATATTGCAAAGTAAGAAGAAATAAATATTTCATTTTATAAGTTATTTTGAGAATATTAATTACTATTTAATTAATGGAAAGAATTTATTGATTACTTTTAATACTTTCAAACGATTTATATTTTTTAAACTAAAATTGTAGAATGAACTAAAATTGTCTTTTTGAGAAATTCTTTAAAAAAAAAATCCCATGAAAAATAATGGATTTCATAAGAAGCATAGGTATGTCTACATAATTTTATAAGAAGAAATCTTAAAGCTTAGCATTGACAAATATCATTAATTTTTTAGTTGTCATTTGATTAAAAAATTCATGATTTCTCTCACAAATGCTCTCCTCATATCTCTTGACAAAAAAATTAAAAATTATGCTGTAACCTCTTTTTCCCGTAAATTAAATTCAACTTACAGATATAAGTTCTCCCACATTTTGACATTCATAAAGTTAAAAAAAAAAAAAAACTCTTAATTAACTCTCTCTCTCTCACAGTAAATAGTAAACTATACAAATTGGAAAATGGAGAAGGCTTAACTATGAGCACGGCCGAAGCCGGAAGGAACACCAGGTCAGCAGAGAATTTTCAAATCCACAGAAATAGCATGGCCCCGTCCATTTAACCATATCCGCCACGCGGCATAATCACAACAGAACATGTCCCACTGCAAGTAACAGAATGACTATAGACATACGCAACGTCCAGGTTCATCTTTCTAATTATATCATATTGTAGCTGCAACAAACAACTCACAAGCTATAAAGAAAACTGAAAAACCATCATTGAAGTTCCAAATTTATCATCTTCTTTCTTCTCTTCAATGCATCTCAGTTATCTCAGTGTTCACTTCATAGTCGAAGATTAGGTGTTAGAAAGATGAACCCAAGAAAAGGAGAAACGTCGGCGTATCATCACCTTCATCAAGATCAAGAAACTCCTTACCATGTCATTCATAAGCTTCCTCCTGGTGACAGCCCTTACGTTAGAGCTAAGCATGTCCAGGTATGTATAACAGGATAATAATTATAAAATTTAAATCCAATTTTTCACTTTTGAAGTGTATACGTGCTTAAATTAGCTTAGCTATAGTAACTAGGTGTGTGTAATGGCGGGAGAGGGGGTGTAATTCATTTTCTTTTTATTGCGTCTATTTCAGTTAATTGGATCCATCATATAGCTTTAATATTGAATGGTTGATCAGCAAGTAACCTATAGGTTTTGTTTCTTTCCATGGAAGGAAGTTTCCTGGGAAGTTCATTTATCATGCTTTTCCTTTTAAGTTCTGTATGAGATTTCGTTTCCTTATTGTTCTCGGGAAAATTTATTTTCTATGGAAACAAACAGTAGGGTAGAAACATTCTTATATTTCTTTTTTATTTTTTTTGAATACTATTCCACTTTATCTCATATGCCTCGATAAAAATGAAATGTTGACCATTCATTATTGAGATCCACATTAAACGCGTGATTGATAGATTTATCTGAACGGTTGGCTTTAACAAGAAGAAAGTTCAACTGTTCATGGATTTGGCCGGTTGCTGATTAATTTCTTCTAGAATGCCTTGATGTTGTTTCGCTATCCACCCCATCGTTTACAAAGTTACAGTTTCTGTTTGTTTCTTGATTTGGGAACCTTCTGGTAGTATGTTGGTCACACTGAGTTCTTAATGTAATTACCAAAGCCAACATATATTACAAGCTTATATGGAGTTGACACCAAACTGAACTTAATTGTGCGTGGTCATAATTTTTTTTTTTTTTTTTTTTTTTTTTACGGCGTGATTGTAGATTTATCTGAACGGTTGGCTTTAACAAGAAGAAAAGTTCAACTGTTATCATGGATTTGGCGGATTTGGCTGAACTTAATTTTTCTAGAATGCCCTTGAATGTTGTTTTCGCCTATCCATACCGGACATCGTTTACCAAGTTACAGTTTCTGTGTGTGTTTTTGATTTTGGGAACCTTCTGTAGTATGTTGGTTTTCACACTGAGTTTCTTAATGTAATTACAAAGCCAACATATATTACAAAGCTTATTGCGAGTTTGACATCCAAACTGAACTTAATTGTGCGTGGTCATAATTTTTTTTTTTTTTTTTTTTTTTTTTTTTTTTTTTTTTTTTTTTTTTTTTGTTATTAGCATTTCAGAATTTTATGAACCCTTTTTTTGGCAGTCTAAAACTTAATTTATATATAATAGAATCTGAGTTAGTTATGTTGAATTCTACAAAATTATATTCATAGAAAGCACATGAAATATAGAATTTCAATTGAGTTCCATTGAAATTTGTGAAACTCACTTGTAGGAAATATGGCCGAAAATGTAATTTTGAAGGCTTTCATAATAGAATAATATGCACATATGGCATTTTCTACTTTGCTTTTGCTTGTAACTTCAGTTGGTAAATGAATGCTCTATTGACAGCTTCAGTATAGAACTGCAGTCTTTTTGTTTTTTTTTTTTTTTTTTTCTCTTTACTTATTCTAAAGTGTCGTGTTTCTTCTACATGGAAATGCAGCTGGTTGAAAAGAATCCAGAAGCGGCCATAGTTTTGTTTTGGAAGGCTATAAATTCTGGAGATAGAGTTGATAGCGCACTAAAAGACATGGCAGTAGTTATGAAACAGCAGGATAGGGCAGAGGAAGCAATTGAAGCAATTAAATCTTTTAGGCATCGGTGCTCTAAGCAAGCCCAAGAATCACTAGACAATGTCCTCATTGACCTATACAAGGTACCTACTTTACTTATTTGATTAGAAAGTAGAACATTTGTCTAGTCTGAATTTGCTTTGCAAGCATTGGAGACTCGAGCTGTGAGCTGTCTTTTGTACTTGATATTATATCACTTTGTCATTATTTTCAATTGCGATATAAAATGTCAGTAGTTAAAACATATTTTGACTTAGAATCGTACTTTGATAAATTCATGATTAGCCAGATTCTCTATTTAAAATGAAAAACAGCTCATTATCCTGTAACTTTTTGGTGAGGTTTAATAGTGGTTATGATGAAATATTGCAGAAATGTGGAAAAATTGAGGACCAGATACAGTTATTGAAGCAGAAGCTTCGGCTGATATATGAAGGAGAAGCCTTCAATGGGAAGCTTACTAAGACAGCCCGCTCCCATGGGAGGAAGTTCCAGGTTACCATTAAGCAAGAGACTTCTCGGATACTGGTACTAAATTTATCTAATTTTTTTTTTCTCCATTATGTCTCCTGTTTTAGTTACCTTAAATATTTAGCTGATATCACATATGAATATATAAACAGGGAAACTTGGGTTGGGCATACATGCAGCAAGGAAGCTATTTGGAAGCAGAGGTTGTATACCGAAAGGCTCAGTCGATCGATCCCGATGCTAACAAGGCTTGCAACTTGTGCTTATGCCTTATCAAGCAGGCACGGTATGCAGAGGCACATTCAGTCCTTGATGATGTATCGCAGGGTAAGATTCCTGGGTCCAATGACCCTAAGTCAAGAGACCGTTCCACCGAGTTGCTCCGTGAGTTAGAGACATGCCAGTCGTCTCTATTTGCTCCAAAACCATCAGGATTAAGTTTGGAAGATGCTTTTGTTGAAGGGCTTGACCAATTGATGAGCCAAGTGAACCCATACAGGTCAAGGAGACTTCCCATTTTTGAAGAGATCTCGCCATATAGAGATCAACTAGCATGTTAGATATATCCTAATTGATAGAATATCGGGAGTAGAAGTTCCTCTGTAACAAATGAGCATATAGGAAGTAACTGTATAGTGTAATTTCTTCGTCTTTTCTTTTCTGTTTTTTTGGCTTTTTCTCCCGATGGAACACAGCGCCTGTAACCAGCAATAAAGTTATCATATAGAAAGAAGTACTTCTCTTTTTTAGGTTCTGATAAAAGTTGGGCTTGTGAATCATACAAGCAAACCTTCCCTTTTTTGGGTTCTGATGATGTTATCTAATGGTATTCTATTCAAATCTTGTTGAAACCGAGTTGTCTTCCGGAAGAGTGAAATAAATAAAATTTTATTTCATCCAATTCAAGCAAAATGAAGAAAGAGGCTAGTTCTAGAGAAGGAAAGGTAGAAAAATTTAGGTAGATGATATTGTTTGCTCGTAACAATTCATATTTTGAACTACTAAGTATTTTTTTTATTTTTTGAAATTTCTTATTTTCATTGTTTTGGTACATATATGACATCATGAATCTGATCTAAACAAGTATAATACCATAATAGAATTAGTTCTTGTTAATTTTTCTGGAGTTTTAAATGGTCCTCTCATGTAACAAAAAAAGGGAATAACAACAAACTCATGCATTGAGGTTATATTTAGTTTACTGTAATGCAATGAAAAATGTAATCTAATAAAATGTAATTAAGATTCCATTACTGTGTTTGATGATGTATTTGAGAAAATTTATGGAATGTAATCACCATTAAATTTTTATATTTGTTTGTAAATACATGTAATTAGCACACTACCCCCACCTCCACCACTACCACCACCACCACTCTACTACCACCACCACTGCCACCATATTATTAATAATAATAATAATAAAAGAAATATTTGAATCAAAAGTCATTCATTATACCAAATTATTAAAAACTATTTAGACCTATAAACTATTTGGACTAGAAAATAAAACAAAAATTAAGCCAGAAAAAATGGAATGTAAAAAAATGAACGTTAAAGTCATTGAAAATTAGTTCTTTTTTACACAATTGTATATATTTTCATTGAATAAATTAAATTACAATATAAAAGTATGGTATTTTAATCTTTTTAGTGACTTTTCATTCCATCCTTCATATTTCTATAACAATACAAAAGAATAATTAATAATGATTTGATGGTGGTGGTGTGGTGATGGAAGAGGAGGAGTGGTGGTGGTGGTGTTGGAGTGGTGATTGCACCGATGGTAGTGGTTGAGAATGGGTATGAGCTTTAAGAAATGTAATGGCTTTACATAGATTTTTTGATGTAATGAATATAACATCGATTTAAGTAATGAAGATTACATATATAATCTTAATTACATTACAAAGTTAAAAAAAAAAAAAAAAAAAAAATTACTAACCAATGTAATGCAAGCTATATAATATATTCTTATTTCATTACATGAATTGGTTGTATCGTACCAACAAACCTAGATTAAGAGATATTTTCTGATTCCGAAATAAAGAATAAAAAAGACAGATAAGGGAAAAAGTTTTGAAAATCTAGATCAAAAGAAAGATACATTAACAGCATTTCAAGAGGACTTTTCTAAACTGCAGGGATTTGAGTGATCCTCCATTACACTTTGAACAATTATAATAACGAACAAGAAAAATTCTACCAGGGAAGTTCAACAATATAACCTATTCACAACCAATCCCAAAATACAAACCTTCTGCAACTCCTAAAAGGGCTAACATAAGGGGGGGGAAGGTGAAACCTAAAAGACCCAAGAGACGAGAATTTCTGCAGGGACAGTAATCATCAGAAGAAAGCGAACCAACTTTAGGACGAGAAAATCCAGTTAGCTTGGCGCAAGGTTTAACATCAGATGAAATTCAAAAAATCGAGAAAACTAAAACCAGTTTGAAGCCCATGACATACAGGATAACACTCATTTGATGAGAATCAAGGCAGGACGATACTTAAAAAAAAAAAAAAAAAAAATCTACTCAAACAATGTAATCAGCTATATAATATAATTCTTATTTCATTACATGATTGGTTGTATCGTACCAAACATAACCTAAGATTAAGGAATTATTTTTCTGATTCCGCAATAAACGAATAAAAAAGACAGATAAGGAAAAGTTTGAAAAATATAGATCAAAAAGAAAGATACATTAACAGCATTTCAAGAGGACTTTCTAAACTGCAGGGATTTAAGTGATCCTCCATTACACTTGAACAAATATAATAAGAACAAAGAAAAATATCTACCAGGGGAAGTTCAACATATAACCTATACAACCAATCCAAAATACAAACCTTCTCACATCCTAAAAGGCTAACATAAGGGGGGGAAGGTGAAACCTAAAAGACCCCATAGAGAGAGATCTGCAGGACGTATCATCAGAAGAAAGGTGAACCAATTTAGACGGAAAATCCAGTTAGCTTGGCGGCAAGGTTAACATCAGATGAAATTCAAGAGAAACTAACAGTTGAAGCCATGACATACGGATAACACTATGATGAGAATCAAGGCAAGGACGATACCGAAAACAATCAATTTCATCTTCATATTTTCAATCCACATCTTCCTTTTTATCTTAGTTCCCTGCTGTCTGAAATCTTGTGCCTGCAACATTACCATCAATTTAAACAAACGACATTAGTCTATCAGAGAAAATGCAAGGGAAATAAACAGGTGATAGCCAACCAGACTCTATCCGAGTACTAAAGAGAATTTCTCAGGCTTCTCATCCCATTCAGCATTCATACAGGTGATGACAGAATATTTTGAGTGATTTCCAGAGTCCAGGTCGAAAGAAAAGGCAATTGGGGACTAGAAGTGAATGAGAATTTTTCTAGACATTGAACTAACCTGTGAGCGAAGGTTCTCAGTTTTATCCACCAGGAGCTCAATCTTTTCACCACGATCAAGAACCTGCAGAAAAGAGAATTTGCTTAAAAATTTTCCACAAAGTCACCTTTATAATCAGTTTTCACGATGTCACCACCATCCAGTTAAGCTTTCATGCAAACATGCATGCCAGAGTGAGAAAAATCCAGTGGCTTGTCTGTACCTTCTCAATATTTTCCATCATCACACCCTTAACTTCAGACACCTGAGCCTTTACTTTTGCAAGCTTGCTGATCTCTTCAGGATGATCCATACAGTACTGCATGTGCTCCTTCAGTTTGGGCCTACAATACAGACAGATAAGCAAGAATCCTTATAGAGAGAATATAAATTTGTCAACAAAAGAAAAAAAAAAAAAAATACATGGGAACATATACCCAAATTCTCTCTTCAGGCCATTGGCCTGAGCAGTTGCAGCTTTTCCTCCACCATATCTCTTCTTGAAGTCTTCCTTAACTCGCTCCAGAAAGGCAATTGGAATTTGCCTGCCAGCAGAGTCGACAGCAACCACACAGTAGGCTGCCAGCAGAGTTAACAAAAGTTTGTGATTATCAAACAGTGGATCCTTCACTTTGAGTCCAGGAAAAGCATGTCAGCACCAAGAATTTACCAGCATATGCAAGTTACTCATCCCTTAATTCATTTCGCCATTCAACAAAATTCAGCAACAGGGTAATTCAACATAAATATTATAAATAAAAATTTTGAAAATAAAATACAAAATAAAATCACAATATATATCTCAATGGCCAAAATAAGCACAGTTGCCACATTTATCCTAAAAACAATTAAAGGGATACCTATTTATACTTTCACATCAATCATAAGAGATTGATAACACCAATGGGATAAAGTAAGAACGCCCAGTATACATTAAGCCACTCCATTGCAAAGGGATTCACGTTTTTCCATACAACAAAAGCTTCCCATGCAAATTTTCCAGCCCTCTAATGCTTCACCACAAAAAGGAGCATCAAGATTTCACGATGTTTATTTCATTAAATTAACTATCTTAGACACCAATTTCAGAAAGCATCAGCTTGTAAAATAGATACCAATAATCTCCATGTTCTCTGATTCTTTATTAGGACCCAAGGAAATTTTATACAATGCTCACGTCTATCACCAATTCACCAATCACCTTCCTCGCTGAGCCAGAGTTATCTAACCGTCCATATCAGATGGCTCAGCAGGCAAAAATGCAGAACCAGGTCAAACATCCCCATGGATGACTTCGAACCGGTCTTCAAAGAGACAATAATAAAAATTCCCTATACGAACCATCTCAATAGCACATGAAGCACAAAGGCATTGCAGAGTTTATGAAGTGTTATTTCTGCGAAGTTTCTGATATTGACAAATGATTAGGCAATTAATTGCTAGTATAACGTCCAAAACATCCAGAAGAAACACATTTACATTATTGGTTCTTCATTGTTTTCGAACTTTAAGAAGGCATAAACTACAGGAATAGAAATGAGAAACAAAAATGAATATAAAATATGAAAATCAAAACCTCGAATCTTTCAGCATAAGACCAACAGCCAAATAGAGCATACTTCAATATCTAAACACGATATATTTCCTTCCAGAACCAGTACATAAAACCATGAAAAGGTTAACCCGATACGTTCCATTCAGAAATATTCCACATAAATCAGAATGCGAATCAATAGAAGTAGTAAACAACAAAATAACTAAGAGAAAAATGTAGCCCGTGTATATATAGCATGCCATATATACGCAAAACTGAATATTCAAGACACGCAAGAACATTTGGATTTCAATACAATCAGGCGGTCAAACGCACAGATCCCTCAAAAAAGCAGACAACGCAATAGTCAACAAAATCAACAGAGCTATGAAAATAGAGATCCAAATCAAAATTCAAGGAAACAAAAGAATTGATACACAAATAAACAAAATTTGCAGGTGCTTCTAAGGAAGAATCAAGCGTTGATCCGGATCACAAATCAAATTCAAAATAAAAAATAAAAAATAAAAAAACATTTGTACAGGTAAGAGAATCTTACTGAAGCCATTTTCAACAAGGTAATTGAATGTATGACCATCGCAGTTATAGGTGAACTTGTTATTAGAAGAAGGGAGTTTCTGGAGGCATTGAGCAGCAACACTGGTGAAATTTCCGGTGAACTCGGTATACTCAGCCAGAATAACCGTGCCTCGAGCGACGAAGCTGTAGATCAGCGATTTTTGCCCCATCTGTTCCTCTGTTTATCTCGTAGAGAAAACAGCAGAACCTTAAACCTAAAAGGATAATCGGATAGAAAGGAAGAGACGATGAGATCGGAGCGGAGAATAGAGAAATGTGCTAGAATTGGGCTTTGTACACTATTATACGTTAATTCCTTGTGCGAATGGTTTTGTTTTGTTTCGTTGGTTGTTATTTGTTGCTTTATTTTAATTGAATTGTAAATTAACGATGGACAAAAATTAATGGAGAGATAGAGATAGAGAGAGTTACCTGGAAAAAGCAGACTTAGAAAATGGATGAGCGGAGGGAGAAGGAATGAGGATTTGGCATATTACGGAGAGCGAGAAATCAAATTGAATGAAAAAATATAAATATAAGTATTTTTAAAAATTTCGGCTGCTCACACGCGGTCTTTTGTTTTAAATTTTTTAGATAGGAAGTTTCTATTTTGACCCACCCATTATTATTATTATCATTATCTGACCCATACAAATGTCATTGATTTCAAGTGTAAATACATTTGTGGTTGAGGTGTAATCTTGTTTTTCTAAATCTAAAATACTGCATAATATGGTTAAACATAATTTTTATTTGTTTTATATAATAATATATATTTTCATTAGATATAAATAATCTACATTTTTAAAGTTAAAATTAGCTAATAAAAGTGACAATAATAATTATTTTGTTTATTTTAAGATTTGATTAAGAGTAATTCTAGTAATACATATTTATTAACAAAAATGCACATTTAAAATATGGATTGAATAAAAAACTATGGAGATGATTATTTGTGACGAGTGAAAAAAAGGAAAAAAAATAAGACTATTTTTACGGAAAAGAATACAGTATATAATTTATTTCATTAATTTTACGGAAATGTGAATATTGTATTAAGATATACTAATATGTTGGCAACATTAACTACGAACTAATAAATGTTAAGCATGAGTTTATGTTTTATAAAAAATTAATTTATACAGCGTTTAATTTTTAGAGTTCTATGAAAAGTTATTCAAATAGCTATATATTTACTAAAATAATTAATTTTATCGAACATATCATATGTCTTTAACTACATATGGAATGAATCAGATAGACTTTGCCAAAAAAAAAAAAGAAATAAAAATTTCTAAATGACAAAGTATCAAATCACATAGTATCTTATATGTATATATATTTCCCTCAGTAAAATTTGATAATTGCTACTTGGATACTCTTGTTCTTTCCATAAAGAAAATGACATGGCTGTTAACTTTGCTTAAACAGAATTAATAGTCTCTAATTAATTTGTTCAAAATTATGCTTTTATTATAATATAAAAATCACTATCCAAATTCAAAGCAATAATAAATGAATACAAAAAGTCAAATAATAAGTGAATTAAAAATACAAGTCAATGTTAGTCCCTTTGCATATGGTGGATGGTGATGATTATGCATGAGAAATGAGGAATGATAAATTAATACGAAGGATCAACATTAATATGCTTCAACGTCTTAAAAATTGAACAAAGATTAGTAATTTAGAATACGATCATTATTTTATGCGTAAGAGGCCAAGGGATTCTCATTAAAAGAAGGTTTGGAAATTACTGGCATTGCTTCTAGTAGAAGTGGAAGCTACTCCGTCAACAACGAAAGATAACTGAAAGAACAGGGAAGCAAAAATAAGCAACCTGTCCACTTCACGCTCCCCAAGAAAAGATTTAAACTTCCCTTCTAATTTTGCTCCATTGCTTTGAAGTACTTCCAGATTAATATTACATTGAGTCAAAGGTTTTAGGACATACTCATGGAAAATGAAATACTAATTTATCATTTCATTATTGGATAGAGCAAATAAATGAGATACGGATTTTTTTTTATAATTATTTTCACTTTTTTTTATTGAACGGTCAGAAATAAAGTCATTTTAAATAAAAAATTATTTTTTATTAATTTAATCCATAAATGAAATCATATAACATGAAGTTATAAATTAGACCTGGACCAATAAGAAAAAGAAAAAAGAGAGGAAAATTGAGATAGGAAAAGAAATGAAATAGATGAATAATAAATTGTTTGAGGGATTAGATTTGGAATGAACAAGAAAATTTTTTTTTTTTTCAAAATACATCTTTTTTTCCATCTCCATCCCCGTTAGAATCAAAATTCTTGCATTTTTTGTAGAAGTAAGACTTGGTTGATTAATTATGAGATATGAAAATATTTTGAACTATAATGCATAATAAATAAATTACTGATCTAATGACTAAAAATCAGTTGGTTGAAGAAAACAAATCATCTGATTGTAAGGTGTTCTCGAGATGATAGTTATAGAAGGACAAATTTTTGGAGATGAACAGAGGAAAAGTTTTTGTTGTCAACGAGCAAGAACAATCTGTGTCCAAAGAAAAAGTTTCTGTTGGGGAGACAAAAATTTCCGCGGTCGGGCGTTTATTTTCTTTCCCTTTTAAATAACAAAAACCCATATTTTCTAACGAAGGGCAATGTTGGAATCAGAGATTTAGATTGCCGCGCCATCTCCTCTATTTTTCCCGCCAAAATCAGTAAGCCATAGGCACCGTCTTTCTACCGATCCTCTCACTAACTGTAACAACTAACCAGAAATCCAGTACCTATGGACATGGATATGGATATACCTGCACCAGAAGAGCTTGAATGGCTCGAAGCTAACTCTCATTTACCTGAATACCACCTAGACCTGCCCTCACCCAATTCCTACCTCTATCCACCCGAAGAGGAAGGGCAATCACCCCCTCAGTCACCATCACCGCCAACTGAAAACCGCAAGCGCCCCAGATCCGATGTTCTTGATTCGCCGAACCATGAAGAGATTTTCCCGTCCGAAGAGAAAAGGAGTAAAATCAATGATGTTGAGCCAGAGGCTGACGAGGATTGGCTCCGATACTCACCGCCGGCGCAGGAGAAGAACGGTGGAGAAGAGGAGGAGATAGTAGAAGTGGAGGAGGAGAGGGTTTTGTCGAGATACGCGTCTCAAATCGACGGCGATTTTATTCCGGTAACGGCACCAAGTGGTGGCGATAGGGTTTATGCTAAGATATGTAGAGTGGAGAGGGAAGAAAGATCCAAGAAATTGGATGTGAGATCGCAATCAAAGGGTATGATGATTTGTTTGTGTTCTTTTTTAATTTTTTGAATTACAATCAGTGAATAAATTGATTCCATATATGGATCACTATAAGCTTTAGTAAGTACTATTGGGTTTAAAACTTGCTGTTTTTTTAACCACACTTTAATATTAGGAGTGGCAATTCAAGTTGGAGATTGTGGTTGAATAGATAATCGCGTTAATTTCTGTTTCATGTCTGGACATATTTAAATTGATTCGAGAAAAAGTTATAGATGTGTGTAAGTAGTTCATGTTTTGCAATATATCCACTTTGCAGGTCTTACCGTGGAGCCTTTCAATGTTCTTTTGCAAAGACTGGAGCAGGAGGCCTTCACCAAGGTACACATCATGGAACATAATATGTGATTATTACTTGCTTATACATTTAAGATGAGGTTGGCTTACGGTTTCACATGGTATTAAATGGTGTAAATGAAAATTTTCTAGCAATTTCTCGGGGATTAGCTGAAATGCTAAGAAGTATTGGGTTAAGGTTGTCTTAAGTATGAACACAAAAAAAAGGCAAACTAAGATTTTGTATTTATGAGTTATTTTGGTGCTGAAGGCATTGCAAGCTAGTTCTGAAAGTCAAAGCGATGTGGTTCTTACTGAAATGCATGTGGTGCATGAACAACTTTGGGTCGACAAATATGCTCCTAATTCATTTACCGAGCTCCTTAGTGATGAACAGACTAATCGTGAGGTACACATATTAAGCTTCTAAAAGATAATGATTTTAAGAATGCAATTGTTGTGAGCTAGAAGTGTTTTTGGACTTTTTTGCTTAAGTTCTAGATATTGTACTGCAGGTTCTCTTATGGTTGAAGCAATGGGATTCTGGTGTTTTTGGATCTGAAATTAGGAGCACATCAGATGATATTCTGTCTGCCTTGAGACGCCATTCTTCGGTTGCTCAACATAAAAAATCTTCTGATTCAACTTTTCCTAGAAGGACCAAAGACAATAGATGGACTAATGGAAATTTTAGAAATTCTAGGAACTTGGATGATGAAAATGGTAACCTGAAAGGAATTCAGGACTTATGGAGCAAGAGGTCAAGGCTTACCAGTCCACCAGAACAGAAGGTCAGAGAAAAATTAATAGATTTCAAGTGGATATGCAATAGCTAAAGTCATGTAAAGTGGATTAACAATTTATTTTTATTTTATATTTATTATTCATTATAGTTGTTCCTTTTTATCAATTTCTGGTAGTGAAATCATTAATAACCGAATGCTCTGGTCATTGCAGATTCTTTTACTTTGTGGTCCACCGGGGCTTGGAAAGACCACGCTTGCACATGTAGCTGCTAAGCATTGTGGATATCGAGTTGTGGAGGTTTTGTTTTCTAACTTGTACTTTAAGATGTGCCTTGTGAGTGCACGCACGTACAGATTCTTGATCGCTTAAGGCCATATAATCTTGGTTTTTGAGCAAACAATTTTATTCACCTTCATATTACCCAGAATAAATATCTTTTGCTTTGTCATATAGGAGGAATTCATCCTGTTAATCTGTTATTGGATACTTTTATGGTCGATGTTGGTACGACTGGCCATATAGATTCTGTATTATCTTTGAGCAATTTTATGTTCCGTATCTCTTAATATCATATTAATTTTTTGCCATAATCTTAACATGCTATTTGTAGTTTTATGTCTTTTCTTTATCATATTTAAGTTTATAACCTGAAGCTTCAGCTGGCTTTCTCAAATCTTGTTACTGCTTTTATGTTCTTACTAGAAGTTTTGAATCTGTGTAGGTTAATGCTAGTGATGATAGATCATCATCTACAATTGAATCTAAAATCCTTGATGTGGTTCAAATGAATTCTGTTATGGCTGACTCCAAGCCCAAGTGTCTGGTTGGTTATGTTTTTCCAAGTTTTGAATTTATTCTTTCCTAATATGTGAACTGGATAACAAATTAAACCATTCCTTCTTTAGGTGATTGATGAAATAGATGGAGCTCTTGGTGATGGCAAAGGCGCTGTGGAGGTTATCCTAAAGATGGTAGTTGTCTATGGCTTTCTATCCTAGAACTCTTCTTGTTTTACGAAGTGTACTTCGAGCTATGACTACTGAAATAAAGTCAAATGGAAGAAAAAAATCTGTTGATAACGGTCAGCCATACGGTGGTGAATTCGTTCCCGGGCCTTGTACACACCGCCGTCACATGTCTCCTCTTTTCTGTTGATCAATTCTGGTCTTTAACACAATTTTTTTTTTATCTTTTTTGTTTACGTATTTTACTCTAGCTAACTATTCATCTTGCCCGTCACATGTCTCCACTTTGCCCTTTTATATAGTTCATTGGTCAAATTGAAATGTTCCAGGGGCACTGACATAGTTCAGTTCATCAGATCTTAATCATTGTTAATTCATCCCTGCGAATATTCTCATTCAGATATAGTGTTTAAATCCTTTGTTCTCATTTTCTGCACTTTGCACCAGTTTTGGCTCTATCATTTACCACTTCTGCTTTAGTTCTGTTTCTATACATAAGATCTAAGAGACATAGATTTAAGCATCTCAGTCAGAAATTTCCGTGTTGATTCTTTTATCTATCTGCTTCATTAGCATTTTCAATGTAATCTTTTTAGAGGTCTCATAAGTTTTAGAGGTCTATGGTTTTATCATCAACTATATAAGTTAGGTTCATGCAGGTGTCTGCTGAAAGGAGGTCAGATACTGGAAAGGAAAAAGTTGCTAAAGGAGAGCAATCTGGAAGGGCATCCTCTAAAAAGGGGCGTAAAACCACGTCCCTTTCAAGACCTGTAAGTCTAAAATAGTGCATGGATTCTTTGGTAATCTTTATTTTCCTTTTCCTTTTCTTTCTAAGCATCACTTTTAAGTTGGCTGTCTCTGTAGGTAATTTGCATATGTAATGATCTGTATGCACCTGTCTTGAGACCATTACGTCAGATAGCAAAGTAAGTCTTTCTAATATCATTATACATTCTTTTGCTAAATGCTAGAAAGTCGTCTTATGCAATTCTAGCGTTCTTTTTGAATTCTAGAACAACTGATAGTGTTCAACGCTGGCATGAATATAATATATTTAACTATGAACATCCTAATCTTGGTGAAAGGTGAGCTCTATGGAACATAAGATATGCATCATCGTTTTTGGTTGAATCAAGTCTAGGATCTATTATTATGGGTGAGATCTGACATGGATGAAGATTCTAGCATGCAAATGACTGAATTTTTCAAGTGGAATTATTAGGATTTATAGGCAAAAGTTGCAGAAGAAACATGGCAGCAAAAAGTTATTACTTTATGTGAGACACAATTGGTTACAAGTATTACATGTATCGAATTCTTCTTATGCCCAGTAAACAGCTTTCTAAGCTTATAATTTGTTAACGTCAACATATGAGGTCCATCTTAAAAGAATGCCTTATTTTGAACTTTGACCCCTCACTGACTTGGCCAAGGCCTAAGTGAAAGTGGACTGGTTGGCCTATCCATCTCAACAAGGGTATGCTGGGATTTGCCCCAATTGTTGAATGATAGTGAGAAGTGATAAGCTTTAATTTGAGAAGGAATGAAAGTTCAAAATACGAGATGCAGAATGTGACTTCAAGCTAAAAATTATGTTGACGAATTTTGAATGGTTATGACTGCTTTATGAATTCAAATAAGGCTTGATTCAGTACTTTTTTTTTTTTGGTAGTTACTGTTTGCTCCGTGTCAGTGTATCTCCGAGCCAATCTGGGAAAGGTACTCTAGTGTAGGTTTTGAAATGGGTTACATTGTTTGTATGCTTATTATTCGAGGCACCATTAGTCACATCAGTAGATCACAGAAGTGTTAGTATGTTGTTCTCAGAGTCAACCTCATATGTTGGTTCTTTGCATGAATTCTGTCACTCATTTGTATTTTTCTGGAAGTATGTAAGGTCCTCACGTTGATGCGTACTTTCTCTTTTAACAGGGTTCATATGTTTGTCCAACCAACTGTTAGTCGTGTGGTGAACAGGTGATGATTGTCATAATCATTTCTTCTTGTGGCTAAAACATTTTCAAGTTTGTTCAATAGTTTCCACCAAATTCCTTAATTATTTAGTTGCCTGAATATGGGTTATTACAGGCTCAAATATATATGTAACAAGGAGGGAATGAAAGTGAGTTCCATTGCTCTTACTGTACTGGCGGAGTACACTGGTGAGTTGTATCTCTTTGTTGAGCATTTCTGAAAAAAATTATTGTGAATTAAGATATTTTACAATTTGAAACTCTGATGATTTGTCTTTTATATCCTCTAGTCGCATTTTTGGTTTTCTACGTGCTAAATGCCTTGCTATGGAAAATGTTGGAATCAGTTCCTAGACAAGTTTATAACTGTGTTTTTCTTGGCCTCTTCTTATTGTGCTCACACTTTTTTGTTCTACTTTTCAGAATGTGATATACGGTCGTGCTTGAACACTCTCCAGTTTCTCAACAAGAAGAAGGAAACTCTTAATGTGGTAAGCCTTTGTTGTGATACATTGCTTTAATCCATTTTTCGAGTCAAGAAAATCTCCCAAGTTAATACCAGATAATAAAAGGACTCTTAGCATATCGAAGATTTTGTTTTTGATATTAGAGTTTGGAATTCCTTCATAAATCAATTGAGAATGAAAAGTTGTGTGTTTTTTTTTTCTTGCTTGCCCATTTTGTTTCAGCTTATGGATGTTGGGTGTATTACCATACCTAGTATGCATAGGAAAAGGGAACGATGAAAGTTGTTATTCCTCCCAACATCTGGTACTTCATTGGTCATGGAACTTTGTTTGATTTTATAGCTGAAAAGTTCATTGAGGCAACAGTAACTCAATTTTGACAGTTACCATTTTGCTGTACCAATATGGCAGTATTGTTCTGGTTAACATTGTTTGCTGCTTTGTGCTGGGATAACCTATATTACTTTTCCTCAGCTGGAGATTGGTTCTCAGGTGGTTGGTCGAAAGGACATGTCGAAAAATATGTTTGACATCTGGAAAGAGGTGACATAAAGAGTACATTCCATTAGAAGTGCTTCTTAACTTCGAATCATTTTCAGCAATCTTTATATGCGCTTGTGCTAATCTCTCTGCAGATTTTCCAAAAGAGAAAATTAAAGCGGGAGAGAAAATCTAGCTATGGTAGTATGTCCAGTGAATTTGACTTTTTGTATTCCCTTGTATCTAACCGGTAAGCAAAAAATTCTTTTGAACTCCTTATGTTTTTCCCTCAGTTTAAGTCCCAGGTTTTCTAGCTTAAGTGCTCTTGACTTTGCAGTGGTGATTATGATGTGATTTTTGATGGGATTCATGAGAATATCTTGCAGCTGCCTTATCATGATCCACTGATGCAAAAGACAGTAAGCCTCAAATGCAGAAAAAAATTTCAGCTGATTTTCATTCCAGCAAGATGTTTTAACTTATTTTATTTGCAGGTCAAGTGCTTCAATAGTCTTTGTGTTTCTGATTTAATACACCAAAAAATTATGCGTACACAGCAAATGCACCTTCATGGTAAATATATGTGATAATCTTTTTTTTTTTTTTTTTAAATAATTTCTGAATGTTGAAGAGTATTTGAGTTATAAGTTTCTCAGATCCTTTTCTTGTTTTTGTTTTGTGCAGCTTATCAACCAGCTCTTGCAATTAGTGTGCACCATTGTGTCGCCCAGGTTCAAAAGCCAAACATTGAGTGGCCAAAGTCTTATCAAAGGTACTTCTAGTTCAACCTTCAATTGAGCTGGGATTGATATCAAATGTGACAGATTCTCTTTTCCTGATCATCATTTTGTGTTAACCTGCAGACACCGAACATCATTGATGGAAAAGATGGACATTTTGAGGTCTTGGCAAAACAAAATTCCACCATGTATTTCAAGGCATTTGTCAATTAAGTCCCTTGTTGAAGATTCAATTTCACCTTTATTACAGATTCTGTCACCTTCAACTCTAAGGCCGGTAATTTTCTTGTATTTCTTTACATCTTTCTTCAGTTGGTTGCACTTTAAATCTCTCTCTCTCTCATTTGGTAATATTGCACAGAAATGTATCCATTTTCATTCTGTCTCATTCTGTCTATACCTAACTTTGTCAAAGTTCTATAAAAAGATAAAAGAATGGAAGGAGTTTCAAGTTATGATCCAACAAAGCAATCCAACTAATGCTACTTCGGATTTTGTGAGAGCGGGATGAGAAAAAAAATTTCAAAAAAGGAAAAAAAGAGGGAAAAAAGACTTTGTATTTGCCTAGAGAAGAAAAATTGCATGATTTTGGCAGGCCCAATCTTCTGATAAGTTTCACCAACATTGACTTAATATTGTGTTGGTTTTCGGTCAGATTCAGCCTTTTAAGGGCTTCCTGAGTAAATTTTATGATATTGCTTTTATTGCTCTAACTTCTGTGATTTTGTGAATAACAAGAAGCAAAATATTCATGTCTTCAGATTACTATAATTATTACCATTACTACTGTTGTGTCATTATTCCTATTTTTCTATGTCTGTGTTTTCTGTACATCTCTTTTGCTCCCAAGGATGACTTTTATTATTGCTTTTATGCAGTTTTCTCATAGCATTTGATTTTCTATGTCAGGTGGCGTCGCACTTGTTATCACAAAAAGACAAGAATGATCTGGCTCAGTTAGTTAACATGATGGTGTCCTATTCTATAACATACAAGAATGTAAAATCTGATCATCTTTCCTCTGACCAGGAACATGAAGCAGCTTTAGATGCCACAGCACTTTCTTTCGATCCTCCCATCTGTGACTTCATCAACTTTAAGGTCTGCATTGTTCTTTGACCTGCATGATTGGTTATATTTGTTGTGCTGTCTCACATTCTTGTCTGTGTCATTTTTCTGGAAATAAGCAGGACTATAATTCCGGTCATTATGTACTTCCTTTAGCAGTGAAGCAAGTTTTGATTCATGAGGTGAGCTACATAGCACTTTAATGCCTTACTTGCAGATTCTTCATAATGGCTTCACCACTGTAAGAATCCAAAAAAATACCTGGAAAAAATGGGCCTAAATTGGTTCTTCACCAGATAGTATGATGAACCAACTGGTTGGTCTTGTCTTTTTTCTTGTTTCCCTGGATTTGAGGTCTTTCTTTCATAAATCTAAAATATCTGTCAAGTTCCACGAAGAGTAGTCATGCGTTGGCACTTGTATTGATTGTTGAATCAAGCATATTATGTGTGGCTTCCTGGACATAGAGTGAGTTAGGATGCTTGTTCATTGTTTATTTATTATGACTATGCCAGGCACGGTAGTGTTTGATCCTGGCACCATTAGCAGCTACTTCTGTTCCATACAGAAAAAATATATTGTTGCCTTTAAGTGCTGTAATTGGTATAGAATCCAGTAAAATATGTTAGCCAAATATTAGCACTTTTAGGTAATAACAAGTCTGAGTTTTGAAGGCTGGGCCTGGTAGCATCTTTCTAGAATTCCAATTCAATGTCTGACGAAAGGTAGAAATTTTACTGCTTTAAATTAAACTAAGAATAGAAGTGAGACCATATTACTCTTCTAGCATATCTAAAACCTTTAGTCATTTTATGTTTTTCTCCTCCCTATCTTTCATGTTAGCATAATCATAATTCTTATTTCTTAACATTTAAAGGAATTTCACATTCTGCATCCATGCACAGAAATTCTCTGTTCTTTCTAGCAATTTGGTGGACTAGAATTTTAACTTTGAAATAATTTGACTTTCAGGTTGAGAAGCAAAAGATTTTGCAAGTAAGCAGATCTCCACATTTAACAGATGGGTGCAATAAAGAAAACCTTAACTTAGCAGATAGAATTAATAGAGACTCACAATCTGCCAACAAGAAGGCATCCTTGTCTGATGCTAAAATTGGAAGTGGAAAGAATACACTGAATACAAAGCAATGTAATCCTAATGGCACCACAATACCATCAAGCTTGGATTGTGGAAGTGCAATGTTAAATGTGAAACTAAAATCCTCAGGAAAACCAAAGAAGCCTTGTACTGGTTCTACCAGCTTCTTTGATAGGTATGAAAACCTAACAAGCATCTGTTTTATTTATGCGGTCATTTCAGAGCCTAAGGTCTTGAACCTTTTTTTTTTCTTTTCTTTTTTTTTTTTTTTTTTGCATCTGTTTTATTTATGGCGGTCATTTCAGCGGCCTAAAGGTTCCTTGAACAGAGCCTAAGGTCTTGAACCTTTTTTTTTTCTTTTCTTTTTTTTTTTTTTTTTGTGTCAAGAGTAATAATGTTAGTTTTACATAATGAAGTTCTTTTGAATCTGTCTTTTATCATTTGAATGCTACGAAGGGCTAATTATATTTGAGCCACTGTTCATAGACTAAATTGGGATGAAAAACATGTGTTTATCTCAGGAACACTCTGGATGATATGAACGTTTATGCTGCCTTTTTGATTGCAACCTGTTTTATTGTGTTTTTCTTCCGCACGGTCTTTTAGCTGCTTGTCTCTGTAATGCATACAGTGGAATCATTTTTGTTATTCTCTATTTTGATATTACAAATACATTGAAATTTATAATGCCTACAGTGATGGTAATCTAAAAATCTGTGGCTAATGAAGAAGAAAACACATTTTCAGCTTTTCAATTTAAGCAGGGTACTAGTTTCAACTTCCAAGCTATCCCTTCAGTTGCTGATGTTTCCCCTGTCAAACCAGGTTTAGGAAATCGAACGGTAAAGGCTCTCAGAATACTGACACTGCTGTACAAAGTACATCCACCTTATTAAGAGATTCACGTCCTCTGCTATTTAAGTTTAATGAGGTAAGTTACTTTTAGTGGGAATTCAATTTTTGACGTATAAATGCAATAAAATATTATTAATTGTTATGAACGAAAGGCATAACAAAAAAAAAAATTCACTGTACTTGTTTCTTACCAGTTACCGGCATTAATCTCACTGTAAATTTGGTTTCTGAGGTCTTTGCTACCAAGACCTAATTAACTTGTACCTGGTAAAAAATTGGATCTATATTGCAGAATATGATGCCAGCTTCTTCGCTCATTTTGTTTTGCAGGGTTTTACAAATGCTGTAAAAAGGCCTGTTCGGATGCGTGAGTTTCTATTATGATTATTTGCACTGCTTGGAGCAAATTGAGGGTGCCATTTGTTCATGCCAACACAGATTCATGTATAATAATGCATTTATATTCTTTGTTTTAACATTATTAAAGTTACATGAAACAGTATATAGCTCATATGATTATATAATGCTGTTTAAACATATGCTAGTCTACTTGTAGAAACAAACAGTGACTCTGTAAATTGAGGCGACTTATCAGGTTTTAACGTGATTCAAAGAGCCAAATGTTTTGCTGTCTGCCTTGCCAGAGATGCAAAATCCAAAGATTTATTGAATAAGAATAGCTTGTTCACTCTCCTTATCCCAACATAAACAGTGCTTTTTTTTTTTTTTTTTTTTTTACATAAACAGTGCTTTTTTTTTTTTTTTTTTTTTTTTTTTTTTTTTTTTTTTTTTTGGGCGACAGGAAAAACAGTCTGACATGCCAGCTGTCCAATGTTACATGTTCTCTATATGTGATGACATGAAATTATTATACAGTACATATTTTCATAGTATCTTAATGAAACGTGATTTAGTTACATCATCTAAAATACAAAAAGTATTTACTGTTTAGATTCTGGAGCCCATTCCCCAACTCTCACCCCTAAAAAGGGGAAAAAACTTAGAAGAAAAGAAAATCTGAAAGTACATTAGTATGAATTTCTAGTTATTAATAACTATATCTAAGCAGATCCACTGGAACTGGAACTATCAGTTGGGGGATCAATTGATACCCATAGCAAAGACACTGTAATGGAGATCAAGCCCGCCCAGACATACACAATTGTTGGCACTCTTCCTCTCCTGCCTAATAACCCTTTAATAAAAGGGTACATATGAGCCAAAACCCAGAAACTGAAAAAGGATCCTCCAATAAGTTTACCCCATTGTGGTATGACACTATATATTGTCCTTGAAATCCCAATAACAATGGCAACAAAATTAGACATTATAATGGCTAGCGGCATAATAAACAGACTTGTCCATTTGACCATGTATAGATCAGCATAAACATCATCTTCATCTTCTCCTGCAGATTTTGAGGTTAATGTAAAAGAAATCTCAATACCAGCAAGAACTTTTAGAAGCCCTTGGAGCACAGCAGCAAAGTGAGCACTAGTGCCTCCAATAACCCAAAACTGCTCATTTCGCCACCAATCCTCAAGTCCAATACCAGACCATTTCACTTCAAGAAGTGAAAGGAGAGTTAGCGTTATAGTGATGACAAGCAGGTAGGAAAGGAAGGCAATATTGAGAGATGAAACAATAAAGTGTCCTGATATAAGGGAAAGTGCTGGTAGGAAGCAGTAAGTAACCAAGAAAAAGGAAGTGAATGGGTAAATGCCAACATTTAAGTAAGCAATTCTTTGTAGAAACTTTAAACGTCTGGTTGCTAAAAATGCATTGTTTTTTGAGAAAAATATTTCTACTGAACCAGTAGCCCATCTGAGCACTTGGTGTAGACGGTCAGTAAGATTTATAGGTGCTGTGCCACGAAAGGCGTCTCTTTTTGTTATGCAGTACACAGATCGCCACCCACGGTTGTGCATTCTATAACCTGTCACCACATCTTCTGTGACTGAACCATAGATCCAACCTACCTTATCTCCCCAGTCTGTATTGTCCTCGAACCTGTTCTCACATGAACATATATTTGTAACTACTGACCATAAAAAAAAAAAAAAAAAAAAAAAAAAAAAAAAAAAAAAAAAAAAGGAGCGAAGGCGAAAATTAGGAAAGCAATTAACAGCAGGAAATCGACAGGGCAACACCTCCGCAACAGTAGGTGCGCTCTAGCAAAAAAAAAAAAAAAAAAAAAAAAAAAAAAAAAAAAAAAGGAGCAGAAAGGGAAATTAGGAAAGCAATTACCAGCAGGAAATGACAGCAACAGCCTCCGCAACAGTAGGTGCGTCTAGTGGAGGACGAGGCACAAGCAAAGCACCGGGAGGCCTGCCATTCTTTACAGAAATATGATCGGCGAGTGGCCGTCCTTGGAATTCAGCAACCGATATGGACTCGTTGAACATAGCTGAATTGCCAAACTTCTTTGGCATGTCCAAGTCAGGGTGCGCGTTCAAGGGTTGAGTTTCAGGATCATCATCCGATTGACCATGAAACTCTGGCACCTTTTCCTTCACTTGCCCAAAAACTCCAGTGTATTCATTTGCTCTTGGAGGAAGGAACCCATATAGTGCATATCTCCGAAACATGCACCCGGTTCCTACATAAACTGGGCCTTGAAGACCATCGAGTGCTCGCATACTTCCTGTTTTTGTAGTAATGTAATGTATATATGTTCAATATACAAGCCTATTGAAAATGTCAATTAGGTGCAAAAATAAATAAATTAGTTAAAAAAGAAAAGGAAAAACATTTTTGAAGTTGAGAAGTAAAATATTTTTTTTTTCTTTATTTATTTGAGAATGAAGAAAACATGGAAGGGAGGGAAATATGTTAACAAATAAACTATGGAATCCCATGTTCTTTTTCTTAAAGAAAAACAATGAAAATTATTAATTCTTCACTTATTTATTTTGCTTTTTTTTTGAAAGGTGAAAATTAAACTCGTAATTTTACTACTTATATAATTATTCTCCTTTATTTTCCTCTTGCATATTCAAACATTAAAAAGAAAAGTAATTTCTTTTTCATATTTAACTTTTTATTTTATTTCCTCTTTAATTTCCTAGAAATGGTTGCATTTAGAAAAGAAACTCATCACAATAAAGCATAAAATTTTAAAACCCAAAAGAGAATATTACCATCAAAGAACACAAAATTATGATTAGCGTATCGATCAGATGGATCAATCCCTTCAAATCTTTGAGGAAATTGGATGTAGCATATTCTATCACCACCACGGTCCATCATAAAGCACATTCCTTCCCTCATAGCCAATGAATTATAGATGTAATGATCACAATCCAAATTGAGTATAAACGGTCCATTTGATAATATAGCTGAAGCTCTAACCATAGCATTCATAGCTCCAGCCTTCTTATTATGGTCATAACCAGGCCTCTTTTCACGAGACACATATGCAAACATCGGTATTCTAATGTCAACTCCAGTGAAATCCAATTTCTTTTCGTCTTGATGACCCATCACCGGATCACTTTCCGGCACCTTGCTCATTATCTGCAAAAGAATACCGAATTTATGAATATATCTGTGGACGAAACTAATAAAAATAGTCCATATTTTATCTTTTTTTCTTAGTATAGATCAAAATATTCTTATTTCAATAAAATTTTTTCATTAGTTTGTTCAAGTTATTCCCACTAATTTTATTAAAATATGAGTATAAGAAGAAAAATACATATAAATTTACATTTATAGTTAAAATAATTAATTTTTGTGAGATAAAAAGTATGGGACAAAGGAATATTACTTTTTTTTTAATAAATCACCCGGTATCGGGCACAGTGACTTTGAATTCTACAGAGGCCAATTATAAGAGCCGCGCTCCTACCTCAGTTTACTAGAATTCAAACTCTGGATGTTACTTGAGGAATTCACGGCCTCGTTCCCCTAAATCAACCGGTAGTTGGCAGGAGTATTACTTTAATAGAATGTGAACATAATTTACTATATTTTGCATTTATTGGTTCATTTTGTATTATATAGGAAGATCACCTGCAAGATGCCAGCATGGTCACCCTTTTTGTGATCAGCAGCTGGATCAAGCCACGTGCCAGGCCAATGGGTGCCATCAGCCATCCAAGTAGCTTTTTGGTACTCCATATCCTTTGGCAACTCGCCGTCGTTCTTCTCCTTGGCGATTGTCTTCTGCTTTCTCTCCTCCTTTTTATTATATGACTCACTTCGCTTACGTATTACTTCAGGCAGACCATTTATTCTCACCTTAAACTCGTCGTATTCCCTCTTCATCCACCGCCTGTCCTTCACGAAATCAGGTCGTTTCTTGTTCTTGGTTTTATCAGTTTTCAAGTTGAAATAACTATCTGGATTCCTCGGTTCAATGTTGTGTTTTCGACAAAACGGCACCCACACCTGTCGTTTACAAACAAAAAATGTGGAGTGTATGTTTTAAATTCAATTGAATCGAATGCTTAGAAAGACGTAACGAAAGTACGAAACCTCAGCGAAGCGGACGGCCTCAGCCATGGCCTCAAAGGTAAGAATAGCGCCACCATCATCGGAAATGTAACCGGTGAGCTTCTCAACTGGATAATCAGCCGCAAGAATTGATAAAATTGTGTTGGCGGTGACAAGTGGCGGTTCCTTCTCAGGATCAGCGGTGGAGACGAAGATATCGACCCCCGGAAGGTCTGACCGGCCGGTTGGATTGGAAGGTGAAGGCTTTTCGAACTTTTCGCGAAGAGCGACTAAATCAGTTGATCTGTTGATTGGGTTAAGCTTAGGAAGAATGTCAAGTAGCCATGAGAAGGCAAACCAAATTTCACAAACTATAGATATTGCCCATAGCCATATTGCATCTTGATTAGGGTTTTTGACACGCCATGTCAAGAAGAAAGCTAGAATTACCATTCGGATAACTATGAGTAGCCTGTTCATATACAACTTATGTTAGCAAATATAAAGATCGCTTTTATTACTAAAAGTTGACAAATTTGTACCTGTAAGGGCTAAGAATTTTTGAAGGAACCCCAATCTTCCTAGTAAGTGGCTTCCAAGGCTTATCCATGAAATCTTGCATGCTCAATCCCGTATTATCTGGACCATAAGCGTCCTCTTCTGAAAAATATGCATTTCCAATACCATAGGTTCCCTTTGTCTCAAATAACCATCTATTATGATCAAAATCCTGTGTTTGACTCCTCAACAGCATCGATTTGTTACTAGATTTCATTATTGACATTCTCCGTTCCAATTTAGAGCCAGTATTACCACCACCGCCACCACCTCCACTGCGTTGTTGTTTCTCAGACCCTAAACGACTTGTCGTATAAGAACCAGGCCCATCAGGTTTATTATCAGAAGAAGAAGAAGGCCCAGCAGGTTGATTATCAGGCGTAGGAGGCATCATAACAGTGTAATTGGCATAATCATTTTGACCTGAATATTCATTTGTCATGTCTAAATCGTCGTCGCGAGACAAGTTCGTAATGCGGCCACTAGGTGTTCGACGGGAGAATTTTACCGCCTGAGGTGGGCGGCCAGCGCTTGAAGGTTGTGATGTTAAGTTTTTATCGTTTTGTTTGGATGATGAGGTTGCCATTTTAATGTTTTTGTTTCGAAAAGATTATGTATTTTCATGCACACCAGAAATGGTGAACACGAGAGGTATTTTTTTTATTATTTATTATTTTTATTATTTCTTTTAGATTTTACAAGAAAATAATGGAACTAGATGAGTCTCGTGTATGGCTAGTTGAAGAAAGGCCAAATTGAGCTGTTGAGTTCAATGGTCTGAAATTTGTTTCTATTTTAATATTTACTGCAGAGAGTTTTACTCCCTTATTTTAAGCTTAGCCTCTAACTGTACTTTAGGCTCTTATAGTTAACAAATAAATAATTTCTTACATATCTCCTACTGAAATGGGAATTATATATATAAAGAAAGTGTAGGAAAGAAAAGAGAAAAAAATGTTTGCCCACCAAAAACAGCTCTATTAAGTATTAATTAACCTCCTAAAGACTTCCCAAAGACTTGGAAGCAAATCTAGTTGGCCAAACTAGAAAAATATTTAGGCAAATTAAGTCTACCACATCATTTATAAATTAAATAATTAAATCAATAAGTAAAAAAAAAAACAAATATCCAGTATATATTAACTGGATTTATAAGGAACTAAAAAAAAAAAGAATAATGATAATTATATATTAGCGTGCAGGATATGGACAAAAGTTACTCGTAGAATCGCAAAACCCAGCCCATTTTCATTCTTGCTCAGTTATGGGCTTCTGGGCTTCTTAAGCTGGCGCCAAAACATATGGGAAAAATTAAAACATATTTTCACCGTGAATTCAAACTTTTGGCGCCGAATCACAGGAAACGAAAATATCAGAAGCTAGTTATGGTGCATAAACGAACTGAACAGGAGAGGGAGGAAAAAAGAAAAAAGCAAAAAAATAAAAATGAAATCAAAGCATAATCAAATTAGGGTCTTTGGCCAGCGATCTATTCCTTCTTCATTCATCTTTGGATCTTCAAATTCGTAAGTATACGAACCCTAACTTCTCTTCTAATACTCTCTTGCAAACCCTTTTCTAATGGAAGATTAAGTGATATTAAGTACTATGATTTTTGTTGGGTTATTTTTGTTTACGAAATTAGTGCGAAGGATTCAAAGGACGATTTGCAAAAGAAGGGTCTAAACAAGAATTCAAGCATTTCACTCTCTGATTTCCTTGACGAGAAGCTGCAAACTAATTCTGTACTACCGAAAATAGTTAAGGTATGATTGTTTTCTGTACCCTCTGTTTGGTTGCACGAAAAATACGTTAAAAGGGAAAGAAAATGAGACCTGGAAAGCGTTTTTCTAGTTATTTATATATTTCAAAATTTTTTAGTTTTGGTTAATTAAAAGTAATTATGGTATTAAGTGGATTTTAGTGGAAGCTTTTGGTTTGCGTTTAAACAACAATGTTTTATTAGCATTTTCTCGTAGTAACAAAATACGAATGAATTGTTTTAGTTTATTTTGGCTAAATCTGGGGTTTAAATTTGTTTCAATTTAAGATGTGGAGTTTTAAGATTAAGGGACTAACTCTTGACAGGGGAAGTCAAGGCCTTTTAAGTCACCTGTAGGTCCTAAGGACGATGGTGGGTCTATCGATCATTGGATTGCGATAAAAAAGAAAGAGAAAGAAACGAATTCTGTTGTTGATCAAGTGATTTTTGAGCAGTTTAAGCACACTAGTGCTGACAAAGTAGATGGCATAGGTTCATGTGCTGATGGTAGAGGTGCTGCTGATGGTGCAATAGGGACGTCCAGCGCATTATTGGGTATTGGTTCATCTCATGTTCTTGAAATAGGAACTTCTAATTCAAATAATGAGCAAGAAACAAGAAAAAGGAGGAACCCCTTTGAAGGTATGTTAATTATGTCCAATAACATATAAGTTTCTCTCAACTGTTTGTGTTTTTTCATACTTTCATTCTGGTTCCATCTATTTCCAATTGATTATAGTTTTCTGTTTGGATGTGAGAGAAAAAAAAAATGAAGAAAAAGAAAATTGTTTTATTCTAAACTGCTGAGCAGGCAGCAGTTTCTGCTTTCTAGAGATTAAGAACTAAGATGAATGGAAAACTCATCTCAAACAACAAAATTAACAAGTATACTTAAATTGGTGGATGATTTAGTAGGCTCTAAGTTCTTGCTCCCCAGTCTAGTTCTTATCTTGAGTTGTGCCAGTGAACTTGATGAAACAGGAAGAAATTAAGCATTTGGAAATTATTTCATTGTGATAGGGTTTTATATATTTGAGAACTAATACGTCATGCATTTCTATGAAACAGGTTGCAAAATACAGCATCTCCATAAAATATGATAGTTTTTCATTGTAGGAACTTTTACCAGATAACTATAATAGCTATCATATTCAGGACAATAAGGATTCAAACCTGACATATATAGAAGTATTCCACCTTTTACTTATTTCTTGTAGAATTTTAATCCAAAACATACAATCTTTTAGTTTTTGCATGACCTAGTTAAATCTACATTGATCTGCAAAAAGTCAAGTTTGATCCACAATTCCAGATATTAGCTTAGATGAAACTGGACCTTCTACAGCTGCTTACATTTATACTTCAATAAAATTGACATGTAATATTTTGCAAGACGGTGATGGAAAGCAAGCTATTCGAAAACATTCCTTAGTTTTGGGAGATTGTGCAGAGCCCAAGCAAAAAGTAAGGAGCAAGAGATTCCTTAGCAACAAAAAAGCAAGACCTCTTTATAATCACTGTAAGTATATTTATTCTGTGGAAAGAAGTAAAATGGCTTTTGTTAAGTGGGAGCCTTGATTATTTTCTGTTGGAGTTGTTTAGGTATGCATTTTGCTTTTTGTGACAAGATTTTCTGCTCCCTCAGTATTCTCTTTTTTTGCAGATGCAAATGGTTGTGGCTGGTGGGATTGTGGCATGGAAGGTGTTGACAGTGAAGAGGTAGGCTTTGGTGAAATATGGGAAGGGGTGGGCTCTACTACATTTGGAGGAATAGAGTGGCACTAATTTCATCCTTTTTGTTATGGTATGTTTGTAACTTCATATGTGCTAGACTAGAGAATGAGAATGCTTATTTTATTTCAAATGCTCTTCATTGTATCTTCACAAGGCTGTCATAAGCATACTTTGGATCTTGTAAGTTGTAACTTCATATGTTTGTTTATTGTTTCTTTTTTTATCATTCAAGTCACTTATTTAAGCACACGACTTAATTTACCAACAAATTTTGTTGGTATTGTTTTTCTTATTGAAGATGAGTAGCTTCACAAAAAAAAAAAAAAAAAAAAATTTACCAACTACGCGCTAGCCAACTGCGCCACCACCCCTCCGGATGTGTAGTCTTAATTTATCCCGCTGTTACCCAAAGAAAGCCACAGCGCAGAACAAAATTGGAGTGAGAGAGGCTCGAAGCTCTCGACCTCAGGATTTCCCTATAGCTATGAGACCTACGCGCTAGCCAACTGCGCCACCACCCCTCCGGATGTGTAGTCTTAATTTATCCCGCTGTTACCCAAAGAAAGCCACAGCGCAGAACAAAATTGGAGTGAGAGAGGCTCGAAGCTCTCGACCTCAGGATTTCCCTATAGCTATGAGACCTACGCGCTAGCCAACTGCGCCACCACCCCTGCTGACCCATGGACTAGCAACTCAAAATAAATAATCATTTTTTTTTTTTTTGACATTTTCAAAATAAATAATCATAAGAGCTTCTTTCAACCCTACAAAATGTTTCCTTTTATTATCTATATCAACAATACGTATAAAAATAGAAGCACATTGGGTTACGTATCACAATATCAAAATATTTGAAGTCTTAAGTGCCCAAAGAAAAAATTTTTAAGGTATCGAATTGGCAAGAAAAATAATTTTTATGTTTTTTTATTTGTAATTTAGACATTAATTAATTAATACAATATTAATATCATTAAAATTGTTCAATATTCTTCAATTTTTTTATAATTAATAGCTGATTAATATTATTTCAAATAATAAAATTTTTTTAGTTTTTTAATGATTAATAAAATTAATAATATTATTTATGAATGTCATCAATACTTTAGAAATTATAACATATCATGTCAAAAAAAAAAAAAAAAGAAATTATATAGATACAGATACTCCTACAGCGTTTTAAGTGTGATTTATTTGCTCAAGTTTTTACTTATATTTTTGCAATTTACACAAATTTTCAACTTTAACAACATTCTCATGAGAATTACTTATTAAGGCCTTAATGTATTTAACTATTCAAAAAGACACCAAACCAATATGTTATTTCCAGTGTTTTTTATTTTAGTGAATTATCAGTAATGTTAATCTTAGTTAATGTTTTTTTAAGTGAATTGTCAGTAATATCCTCAGTCACCCTATGTATCTTGATGTATAGATGAAGTGTTATCCATGCTTATGTAGGGTCCTTATTTAAGGAGGTGGTGCTACCATTTAAAAAAACAAAAAAAAAAAAAAAAAAAAAAAAAAAAAAAAACTAAGTGCATGAATGCAATTTGTCACTTGATGTCCACAAACTTTTGCAATGGATACGTGTCAATTTTTGAGAGGTCTAGGTGGATAAACTTGACAGATTACGGAATTAATTATTAGTATCATCATTTTGACATTTTTAATTTAAATCTGCTCTCTTTTTTCATCGTGCATCCATATGTTTGTTTGTTTGTTTGCATCCATCACTTAAGATTTATTATTTGGAGCCTGCTTTTTAATTAATTAATTAATTTATTATAATTGTTAAGCTTCCAATTTCAATTCTAATCGAAGCAAATCAACAGGACATGACATCCATCCTATAAAAACCATTTTTATATTCTAGTATTTCCTTACCAGAAAAAAGTTGCTTTTATCATCAAATAAATCATATCACGAAAGTAAACATTATAATGTCAAAGTTGAAAAAAAAAAAAAAAAAAAAAAAAAAAAAAGCAACGTCCAATTACTCATTGCATTTAATGCTGCTTTAATTATCTATCGGTAGTATTAAAGACAGTTAAATTTAATAAAATAGAGTATAATTTAAATAAGCTATCAAATAATAATCAGCAGTGCTTTAATTAGTCTTTTCACTTATGTAATGAATGAGAGATTTGAAATTTAAATCATCTCTCGACTAAAATTATTTTCACTAGTTTGATGAATCAAGAGAAGTCCACAATATTATTTCGGTCAATAAAAATTTTTGTCAGATTAAAAAAAAAAAAAAAAAAACTACCAAACAATAAGAATTACATGCCTGCATTTCTGTTTTGAATTTCATTAAATGTGGAAATATTTGTACTGGGTTGATTCGTCATAGTCAAACTGAAGGGGATTGTATTGCATTTCTTGTCGATGATGACTTCAATAGTTTTATTAGCCGCCACCCACCTTTTTCTGCCCCCTCTTGTTTTCTACGTAGAAATAATAAAGTCATTGCAATTATATCATACATAAGACTTTTTTTTTCTATGATTTAATTTCTAATTTTTATAAAAGAAATAATAGTAACACATACTGAATTTTTTTTTGTTTAATTTCATTTTAATATTAAAAATGATAATAAATTTAAAATTTTAGCTTTTGTTTCTTTTAATATTGCCAAGCAAGTATCTAATTAACAAGTATTGCTAGTATGTAAGTTTACTTCTTTTTTTTTTTTTAAATTATTGAGAGAACTTTTTAGAATCTACGTGTATATTCTTCTCGTGGAATATTAATGTACTCAAAATAGCCAAAGTAGGTTCACCTTTGTACCTTTTTTTTAATGAAAAAATTTTACGATGCATAGAATTCATGTAGGACTTATTATATTTCTAGAGTTAATTTCTCGTAATATTATATATTTCTCCATAATAGTTTCACTTTTAGATTTGTTTCATTTATATCAGAGGAGGAGGAGGCCCCGTCGCTGATAGTTGCTAGATTTTTCCTGTTTTTCTTTCTTTACTGTATTTTTATACTGAACTTTGACTGTACTTGCACTTGGTTAGTACTGAAAATTTTACATGTATGCATGATTATCAAATTTGAAAGAAAATAAGATTTCTTTTCGGCCCGTGACAACTTGCGGTACCACTTAATTCTGTTTTACGGGCTGAATCGATTTGTGCCTCACGACACGCCCAACCTACCCCATTTAAGGGCTGATGCGCAATGCTAAGTGACGTCCCCACCCAAACGAGGGTCCTTGGCCACAGAGCCGCATACGTCGAATAGGGTAACCTGGGGGTAAGAGCCTCTGCTTCCTCTGCTTTTCGTCACACAAGGTCACAAGTGAGAGCCCCTGGAACGGACCGATATTTGTCCTCAGAATTAAGTCCAAGTGTGGAGGGAGAAGAGAAAGGTGCCGTAACACGGACTTATATTGTAGCAGTTTTTCAGATAAATACAAACTTTATTTAATTACACAAATCAAATACAAGATTTAAAACTACAACATTACCTTAACTTTCTCCACTTGAACTTTACAACTCGACTAGGAGCAAGAAGGAGAGAGGGATCTTAGGTATAACTAAAGACTAACTTATTCCTTTCCAAGGGGAGAGGCTCTTTTATAGGAAATTGGCGAATCCTTTACTATTATGAATAGTTCTTGTCTGCCACTGGGCTGAGGACAGAATGCTTTACTGTTGGAGATGCCTTGGCCTTTACTGTTGAAGATGACTTTTACTGTTGCAAATACCTTTTTTACAATGTGTCGGAACATGATGAGGAGGAAGAAGTTGACGTGTCCTTTTTCTTTGCTTTTCTTTTTATTTTTTCTTTTCTTTTTCCTTTAGCTTTGTCTTCCTTGACTTTATCTTTTTGCTTTTGACTTGCTTTGCTCTTTATTTTTATAATGGTTTCTTCATCACTATCACTATCTTCGCAAGAGGACGAAGAAGATGATAACGATGCCCATCGTTTTGGCTTGCTTTTACCACTGTGCTTGGATGAATTTTTACTGGATGATGCTTTATTCGGTTGATTGCTAGAGTGGTTTACTGGACTATCTGTACTGGTTGAAAGTTGCCTTTATGATGCGTCGTTTTGGAGGATTTACTGGAGGACGAACCTTGGGCTTTACTGGGCTGATTTGAGCTGGTAGAGAGTTGTTCAAACATCTCTTGACAGATCAATTTATATTCTTCTGGTGTTTTAACTGCAGCTAACTGGGCCTGACATTGGGCTTTTTGGATACCGAACTGGGGGTTATCCTGGATAGCTAATGTTTGGGCATAGGTCAGAGCTGGTTTAGATGGGCTGGATAATTTATTGCGGATCCATTGACTAATTTTATGTTCAGTGGTGGAATTCTTGAATGATCCCCACCATTTTATTTTTATGTTCTTTTTACTATCATAGGAATTTGACTTCCTGGAACATTACTGATAATCAAAATACCATTGATTATACCCATGGAGTGAAAAAAAGCGTTTCATACAATAATACATCAAGGAAGGAATATGGACTTTCTTCGGGTTTGGGTTAGAGATATAATGAGGTTTTTAAAGAACTTGATTACTAAAATAAAAGGATATCTATGAGGTGAATGATTTCCTGCTGAAATTCCTCCTTAAAAATTTGCCACCATCGTTTAAACCAATTTGGAGATTTTTAAATTCTATGTGCGGTATTATTTTTGGATCCTTCAAAATTATATATTAACCATGAATGAGTAGTGGTGGATTTTGAAGACAAAATATCGGGATATATCCCCAGCTTTTTTTTAATCAAAATAATTATAACTCAATATTATATTTATGATAATCCTTAAATTTTACTGGTGTTAACTTAACGCATAGGTACGGCGCCCATCCTGTAGGATGGATGACGGCGTTTTTATTTTTATAGAAGAATGAAAGGAATTTATTCCATTTTTATTCAAAAGTATGTTTTGATGTTTTTACTGAATCAGTATCTTAATAATATATTATTATAAAATAAGCCTGAGGTTTTGATAAGCTCTGTAGGCATTAAAAAAACCAAATTGTTCAGCCGATATATAGTTTTTTCCTATACATATTGCAAGGATTGGCTGATGATTATCATCCATCTCAACTCTCTGATTTTCAAAAATCTCAATATATAATTTTTTTTATCAAACCATTTATGTATATACCTAGTAGAGTTTTTATATTTGGGCATTTTTTGGCCAAATTCCACAGCCATCAACGGATTTGATTTAACTCTTCTTACTGTTTACCGTTTGAGACAGAGTGCTGTTAT